AACACAACAGCGATCGCAAAACAAAATCCCTCACGACTTAAAATCGCTCATTGTGAAACTACCTTACCTCGGGTTCTGAGCCCGATATTGGAACGTCCTACAACCATGACACTTGTCGGTGTTCTGTCGTCAAGTGACGTTTATGTCATTCACTGTCATAATTAATAAACATTAATTCAATTCTGACAGCTATAAACAAAATAAACAACAAAGAAAATCTTAAAGAATGGTATCGTAAATAATTAATTAAACAAAGGTGAGACTATAATACATAATATATATAAATTTACAACGAAACTTGGTCTATTTTTAGGAGAGTCTGACAAATTAAAACAGTGAACACTATACCGCAAATATGACCAATGTACAAAGTCTTATACTAGTGGTGAGATGGAATAAATTGTAATAATGATGTCCAAAAGTTAGAATACAGGTGAAATTAGTTAATGATAAAAATAATAGTGATATCATCAATACGATTTTACCCTTTTTTTTCGTATGATTAACCAGGTAAGCCAAAACAATTTTATTAATTCGTGGGGCCAAAAATGAACGTTACACAATTTTAGAGTTTACTTTTCTCCGTGTAGAAATAAGCGACAAAAACGTCAACTGTCATTGAAAATCTGACCACCCCGACATCAAAGAAGCCGACGCAATCTGTCGCTACCGTATTGTTCTTTATACTGGGGTAGAACCATAAATACATCATCACTGAACTAGCGCATTGTGCATTGGTCTGTCTACAAACGACGTATACCTTTAGTTAACATCTGAGACGCATAGATGACGTCATCGTTGCTGCGGTCGTTACGTTTCCTATCTTTATGTCCATAATCTCTGATTTTACCCTTATTAGTATGTCTTTTCCTCTAATCCTGATGATGTTTAAACTGAGCGAAATTTGTTACTAATAAAAATTTTAAGTAATCCAATAAGAATGTTCCTAAACTAGGCCATGGAAAAATCACGCATGTTGTAATTCACAATTGTGTATGTGCGTATTTGATGTATACAATTTTTATTTTACTTATAACTTTTTCCATGTTTTTGGCACTTGCAGTTATGCTCTTCAATAGTTCTTCTTTTTTTATATGGTAGCTTGAATTTCATTCACTGGCACGTAATTATCTCAATGTGACTAGTATTTGTCGTTAACAGTCTACGTTAAAAACTGTTTTGTGGATCATACTTTACAATAAACCTACCTAAGATTTTCATATGTATAGATACTCCTTGATTTTTAGATTACTAAATTATTTACTACTTTAAAATAATTACTTAGAATAATTACAAACGCCATAGAAAGTTCTTTTCTTTATGTTCTCTGAACCATATAGGAGACCTCATCACTGAAAAATTGAAGCTTATATATTTGCAAGTTAGATGGGGTAACTAAACCACGATAAAGGACTACGATTCGATCAATAGAGATAGGGGCAGAAATCTAACCGACGCGTCGGTTTGATATGTAGGATTCTAATGATTAGTTGAAAAAGGAACATAAATTATTGATTTTCGTACTACTTTTATTGTACAGATGTCGCCTATTGCATCATTCATGGCTATTTTTTTTTTATCAATTTTTTTTATAATATGATAATTTTAGTGTATCAATTTGATTTGAAAATCCTAAAGATTATTCTACGTTTCATGATAAATACGTATTTTTTTTTTTATTGTTACATAGTTTTTTTTTTAAATAGTTTTACAACAATTTAAAAATGTTTATAACTACTTTATTGTAAATCTAATTTTTAATTTAAAATATTGAATAATTTAAATAGTTAATTAATTTTCTACAAAATAAATATATAGTGGCGACTGTCGTAGCCATGTCGTGACAAGATTAGGAAATTTTAGGAAAATGAAGATCTATAACGGGACGAAGCCTATTAATTTTGAAAACATCTGAATGAAAATGGGTGGAAATATAAAAAAAAACTAACACGGAAACAAATTGAAATTTTCTGGAAAAATCAAGCTTTATAAGGGGATAAAGTCTATTGATTCTGAAAAAAGTTTGATCGAAAAGGGGATTTAAGGGGGTATGTTAAACTGTGATCAGTATAATATAGAATGCCAAGCATTATCTTCATTCTAGTTTTTACATCGGTATTGTCTCCACCACCTTTTTTTATGAAATAAAAACTTATTAAAAATAATAAAACAACTTTATTTTAGATATAAATACATAAAAAGGATCTTACCAAAACATATCCTTTGGATTGCAGTGACTCTACTTTCAGAGTTGTTTGCATAACGGAATGACAACTCTTTTAGGTATCTTTTAGGTATCAGCGACAATTTTATACATGCCTTTACAATATTAAATAAATCAAACCTTATTCCCTATTAATGCCTCCGTCTAGGCTAACAAAACTTTACCGATTAAATGACCGCATAACATTCTAATTACAAATTTTTTGGCACACTATTTGGAGGATATTTGATGGAAGAGATCTGACAACATAGGAAGAATGTACTGTAAGAAATATGTTGCGGACAAATTCAGTGTAAACAAGACGTATCTATTATCCGATATGTTTGCTCCAAATTCACACCAACGAAACCTTATTTAAACCAAAAACTGAAAAATTTCCTAACTATAGTACGAAACTTAAGAGTGATTTCTATCTTCTCAAGTGGTTTTGTCTTCAAAAAAGCCACTCTATTGCATATCATGAACATGAAAAAAAAAAAACATTTTTGATTAATATCAAACATTATCTCGCCCATTTATCTTAAACTTGGTACTTATTTTTTTACTCGTTTTATTTTGAGCTAGTAATTATATTTGATTTAAACATTTCAGGGGCGCCTTGGAAGGCAACCGAGTTAAAAGCTGTAACACCACTGGTTTCATAAAGTGCGTCCTCACCGAATCAACACTGCCGATCGACTCTGTCTATCGACATTGTTGATCAACACGTCTACAAAACTACATCTGTCCACCCCAGAATTGACAGAAATGTTTGTCGATCAGTCGAAATTAACATTAACAACTTTTATATACATCCTCCATACTGGTGCCAGATTTGTTGCTGTCTTTTATTTTTTTTACTTCTTTAGCAAATTGACTTTGAAGATTTCTAATTTTTTGTTCTACCGCTTGCTTCTCGACGTTAAATTCATTAGCAATTTCCATGAGGGCATCGTGCCTCAAGTTTCTGCTCTTATAGTTTTTGTTTTTAGAATCCCATAGATTTGTTCTCAGTTTGTATGCCTCAATAAAGGCTATGACTTTATCTTGTTTCCATTCCATTACTCCAACGAAAACACAACTACAATGTCAACAAGGCAAGACGTTACTGAGTACTTAGTACTCAGTACTAATGTCGAACACGTCCACACATTAAAGCCGATCGACTGCTCTTTTATGTTTACCGACAGGCGATTGAAAACAAATCGATATGTCGATCGATTTATTTTGTCGATCGTCACCGTCGATTGCCGCGTATACACAAAGTCGACAACGTCGATAGACAAAGTCGATCGACAGTGTTGATTCAATGAGGACGCACCTTTAGGTTTACTATTTTTTTTCAGATTTAGAAAATAAATGTTCAGTGACTTTCATTATCACATTTTTGGCATACCACATCTGATTTTTTAAGAAATTATTGCCAAGTCCAATAAAGTACCTACTTACTTACTTTAGTGACCCAATTCACAGTGATAGTATTGTCACATCACTAAAATTCAATTAGCAGTGATTCTATCATGAATAATTTCACTCATTCTAAGATGACTGACATGCACTTTATTTATGGATTAGCAAATGTAAATGCGGAAGAAGAACTGAGAACTCACCAAGACAAGTACAGATATCCTAACAGAGTAATTCCATGTGTTAAAATACTTAGAATGCTACATGCAAAATTAAGTCAAATTGGCGTTTTAATAAAAATACAGTAACAACGCCTGAACTACAAAAAGCTATACTTCATGCGATAGAAAAAGATCCTTCAAATAGTATCAGGTAGATTGCACTGCATCTTAAAGTCAGCCCAAAAACAGTTTGGAAAGTTCCAAAAAGAATATCCATATCACATACAGCGGTTCCAAGCTCTACGGCCTCAGGATTTTCACCAAAGATGGCACACAATTTTATTTTTTTACCAAAGATTTTATTTTCGGACAAGGCAAATTTTTTACGAGAGCTATTGTTACGCAGCACCCTGCAGTCGTCATGAGTAAAGGTACCAGTAAATGAAGAAGATAGAATAGTCCAGGAATGTCTCGAAATGTCATCCTTTGTCATAGAAAAATCCAGATTGTTCGAGAAAGGTCTAGAAGGTTGAAGCAAGCTATATAAGTCGACGATCTAAAGTCAGAGTTTCAGTATTATGACAGACGTTATACGTATGAAGAAGTCTTCATAGTTATACTTTAATGTTATCAGTTGGATAGTTATTGTTAAAGTTGAATTGACTTGAGGAATCAGATAAATGACAATTACATTGTCATAAGGAATACTCAAGGTATTTTTGAACGTCTCAGACAATCAATGACAAATTGATTGCAGTCGTGTATTTTATTAAAAGGTTGTCATTTTGCTTATTTACTTATAGTCCAAATTGTTTATTTTTTATTTTTGGTATTGAATTTATGTTGTACATGGATGATAGTGTTTAGAAACTAGACATGGCGAAAACACAAGAGACCAGTAAGGTATATTAAAAACACTGAAAGTTGTTTTACCTAATTCTGTACTAAGATCCATTTTCTGTCATTGTAAACCCTTAATATTTTATTCACAAGCCGCCATTGGTCACTTCTAGCCTAGATAAGAGAAACATTTTATCCACTATAGGAAATGCAACCATATAGGCAGAAGTTACACGGGGCTGTCCACAAGCGGGACTACTATCTCCAATGCTGTAATGAATTCTAATTGATGACCTACTAGAAAACTTGGTCTCAAAAAGGCTAGCAGTGTCTAGGATACGCGGATGATCTAGCAATTTGCATATTAAACATTTAAAAAAATATTTCAAATTTATATAAATAATTTTTATTAAAACAAATCCAAAGTTTATCACATTTTTATTATAATTACCGAACTAAAATTTCTTAAGAATAAATAAATTTATTTATATTTCTACGATGTAAATTTAAATCAAATAGATAGAATATGTTATTTAGATTTTTCGCATCTACTCTTCTCACTAGCTGAATCTGTAAACTCAATGGTAGCAATGCTTCTCTTTTCTTTCATTTCTCCTTCAATGCGGCATTTCGGTAACGGTATAATTTCATTTGCTTGAGAATGTATTTCTTCCCAAGAAAATTCAACATCTTTGCTGTTAGTCAATCTGCTGCAAATAGCAAATCTAATAACAAACTTATTACAGAAATGGCCTGCCATGAGGAAAATATTCTTTCTTTGGTCAAGCTTTTCAAGTAAGGCGCGCGTTAGAGCGTTGTCTCCTTTCATTCTGAAGGTAACCAAACCCATACTGGAGGTACAAACTTCAAATCTTGAATCCTGGTTAACCAAATCCTCAAACTGTTTAGCTAAACTTATTTGGTCTCTTACATGTTTTTGAATACCTTCTACGCCATAAATTTTTAGTACAAACCAAAGTTTGAGCGCTCTGAATCTTCTGCCCAAGGATATTTGCCAATGACGGTATTCAGGAGCAAGACCATTGTGATTGTCTTTCAGGTAAATTCTTTGTACGTTGAAAGCCTCGACTAGATATTTGGCGTTTTTTACCCACATAGCTGAGCAGTCAAAGTTGACCAACATCCATTTGTGAGGATTGAAGTTAAATGAATCGGAAAGTTCGACACCTTTCATGAGATGGCGGTATTCTGGGCAAGCAAAGGCAGTGCCAGCATACGCTGCGTCTACATGCAGCCAAATTCCTTCTCTATTGCATATGGGTCCAAGTTCTGCTAAATCGTCGAAAGCGCATGTTGGTGTGGTACCTAAACAAGCAACTACGTAACAAGGGATTAATCCTCGCTCTTTGTCTTCCCGTATGGCTTCTTGTAAAGTAGCGGCGGTTAGCTGTCCTTTATCGTTAGCTGGCAGTAGTTTCATGGGCATCGAACCTAGTAGTCCAGCTTTCTCTACGGACGAGTTTGATTGATCAGAGGAGTAGGCTACAAGTTTTCCTTTGATGTCAGCTTCTTTCAATTCTGGATTTAGTTCCATCAGGTCTTTAACTTTTTTTTCTTTTGCGGCGAGCAGTCCAATAAAGGTTACTTCGCTGGCAGAACCCTAAAAAATAAAATATAATATAATCTGATTTGCTTTGCTCTGATATAATATTATAACGAAGAACAAATTATAGGTCTATTTGAGTATAAAAAATGATGGGATGAAGTGGCCATTAAGTCAAAAAAGGGCAAGTATGATATTTAGAGAGAGTTTTCACATGCACTTGTGCAAATCGTATTGGAAATCGTTCGATAGCCGATCATGTATAGTTATTAACAAAAAACAAGGAAAAGGATTAAAACCTGAAATTTGGAGCCTATTTTTTTTTTATCAAATGTAACATGGCACTGAACATAGTTTGAGTTAAATTTTAATTTATAAAAACTAACCACCTATGCGAATAATAATATAATAAACTTGTTGAGAGTTATACAAATATTTTGACTTTTCGCCATTTTTACAAATCAATCTTTTTGACACAAAAAATGCCTTGCAATATTATCTTAAATTTAGAAAAACAGAGTTTGGTTCAAAATGATACATGGCCTAAAACCCTACACCGGATGTAGCAAAACCGGATGACAGAAAATGCTTGCATTGGAATTATTTATTGTTATTGATGTCTAGAAGACCAAGGCCGCGTTAATTAATCTCTTTTATTTATGGAGCAGTTTGGATCAAATTTAAGACAAACATACTATATATATAGTCAATTTCGAATTAAATACCATTAGGTTTGAATTTTAAAACGGACCACCTTGAATATTTTATGTTTTTGGAATTTAAGTTTCAAATTACATATGGCAGGTTGCCAAAATTTTATATACATAAATAAAAAAAAAATTGAGGTAAATGGCCATGAACTGAAAAATAATGTTATAATAGTTTTAAAAATATTAAAACAAACGATATTTTACCTAGTGAGTTAAAAGTAAATCCTTCAAATCAAAAATATACTTTTAAAACGCGTTTTCCGCGAAAATATCACTTTTTCACTTTCCTAAGTGTATACAGATAAGGAAAGTATAGGAATCATGACTTTTTTTCGACCTCGAGTTTTCGACGAATTTTTACGTTTTGGGGTGTGTGTCTTTATCCACGATAACTCATGAATGGATACAAAGAAAAACACCAAATTTTAAACTTAAGCTTTATTCCGGCCTGCGGTAAAGTGATTAGATTTTGGGTAGAGTCGGAACATCTGGGGGGGTACCTTGTAGGGGATCATTTTTATATTTTATGAAATATATCTGTTATTTATATTTGTAGAAGAAATTTCTTTAAATAAAAGTTACTTCTAATATTATTTTCTATAATTTTTGTTTTATACAAAATTTTCCTAAAATGGTCCGTATTCGAGAAATTTTTCAAAATGTAAAAAATCCGATTTTTAAGAGAATTGTTGAACTAAAGTTTGCGATATCGATCTCTAAAATTTTTGTTTTTACATGATTTCTCTAAAATGGACTGTAATGGAAAAATTGGAGGAAAAGTATAAAATTTAAATTTTTCAACATTTTGGTTGGCAATGAGTGTATATAGAAAAATGTTTTGTGTTAGATGTACGTGGAAAATGTATATATTAAGTTAACCTCTAAATATTTACAGAGGTGCTACAATAGGTTGTACAAAATAACCGAAAAAAGCCTGTAATAACTAAATAGGGTTATTTCGCCATTAAATTAACAATCTATTAATATATCACAATATAAAAAAAATAAATAATGTAACTAATAATTCTTCTTCAGTAGAATTTAATTTTAAAAAAGCCAATTACGCGACTCTCTACTTTGACCTCCAATCTATCGATTGGAAGCTTTTAAATAATATAACTGATGTGAATGACGGTGTAAAGAAACTAAATGAAAAACTATATGAATTATTTTCACGACGTGTTCCAAAAAAGAAAGCTAGTAATAAAATGTATCCTCCATGGTTTAATAGGTCTATTATCAAAATGATCAAACAAAAAGATAACGCTCATTGTCGGTTTAAGTCTACAGGTTCTCTTGAGGCTTTAAATACATTCAAATCCGCACGTACTAATGTTAATAGACAAGTTAAGCTTGCACATTCTCAATATGCTGAAAGAATGGAAAATAATATTCAGGAAAACCCTCAGAAATTTTGGACATACCCAAGCTCTTTTAAGAACTCCTCAAGCTTTCCATCTTCAGTACAAATTAATAATGATGTATTGGATAATCCATTAGACATTGTGCACGCATTAGCAGAGCATTTTTCAAAAAAATTTACATTACCAACACGTACTATCGCATCTGTTCAATCAACTTCTGTTAATTTACCTATTTTATCTATAAATCATGTATCTGATAAAGAAGTGGTAGACGCTATAAAAAGGTTAAAGACAAAAATGACAATGGGACCTGATTATATTCCTTCCTTCTTCATTAAAGATGGCGCACACATTCTTTCAATCCCACTGTGTACTATTTTTAATTTAATATTGAAAACAGCCATGTTTCCTGATCTATGGAAATTATCTCGCGTTACACCAGTTTATAAAAAGGGAACCAAAGATGATCTTGACAACTATAGACCTGTTAGCATACTTTATAATTTCTCCAAAGTATTTAAAATCATTATTCATACATACTTATCTAGACATCTTTCGGGTTCATTATCGCAATACCAACACGGATTTATGAAGGGTAGGTCCACTGTGTCGAAACACAATTTTTGGCAGAGGCTTTAGATAGAAGAAGTCAGGTCAATGTTATCTATACCGACTTTTCTAAGGCATTCGATAGAATTGATCATCAAATCCTATTACAAAAATTAAAGTCTAAGGGACTATCTGATCTTCTTCTTTTACTTATCGATTCTTACTTAGAAAATAGAAGTCAGTACGCGCAACATCAAGGATTTAGATCAAACCATTTTAAGCAAATTTCAGGTGTACCGCAGGGTTCGGTCCTTGGGCCCTTTCTTTTCATAGTTTTTATTGATGACATTATTCGCAAAAGCACAGAAGTAAAATACTTAATGTATGCTGATGATTTAAAAATTTTTGCTAAAATACGGAACTTTGTTGATTGCACAGCTTTACAAAGTTGTTTAACTGAATTATTGGTATGATGTACTAAAAATTATTTGCATTTGAATCCTGGTAAATGTAGTGTTATGACATATACTAGGAAAAAATTATATTTTACCTTTGATTATAAGATCAATGGCACTGTGTTAAGTAGGCCATAGTCTATAAAGGATCTGGGAGTCCATTTTGACAGGGAATTAACTTTCGCAAGGCATATTGAGCAAACAGTTATGTGTGCTTCAAGGAGTCTTGATTTTGTAATTCGAAATTTCAAACAATTTAAAAACATACATACAATGAAGTTATTATATATTAGTTCTATTAGATCTAGACTTGAGTATGCGTCAGTTGCATGGAATCCATCACTTAACATTTATAGTAGTGCAAAGAAAATTTATGAAGTCCGCATCATATCTTCTAGACAATATCTATTCTGCTAGAGGATTTTCTCATGATCAACTGTTGTCACGCTTTGGTTTAATGGAACTGCACATATATGCCGTAAAATGCAGCTAGTTTCATTCCTATAGGATATTTTACATGAAGGGCTAAACTGCATTGAGTTTCAGGATTATATCAACATTAAAGTACCCCGCCCTGGCCTTAGAATATACTTAAGCTTTTACTTGCCAGCTGCAAATACAAATATTTTGAACAGTTCTTCAATTTTTCAAATGATCAATGATTATCTTCGCCTTGAAGATAGTTTGGATATTTTTAGTTGTAAGAAAATATATATTTTTAGAGCTATTACTATAGAAACTGAGTGGTGTTTATCGTGCTTGGTAAGTTGATAATATATCTTCTGTGCGTATTTATTTTATATTAATTTATTTTTTTTAAATTTGTTTTATGCTCCTTTAAAAACTTAAATATAACTGAATATTTTACCTTCAGTTTTCCTTAAAAATAGGCTTTATTGTACTTCTTATTTGTTTTATGTTCAGTCATATCTGATGTTCTTAACTCGTTTGTGATGTATATCATTAGTATATTGTATTTGTTTTAATTTATGTTCATCCCACTCTGTAATTGATTTTTAACTATTGAGTGGTGTACTAAATAAATAAATAAAAATAAACAAATAAATATGCATATTATGAACCACTAGTACCTATCTTATTTTAAAATTCATTGCATATGTTAAAACAAATTAAGGAAAATTGTATGGAAAAAATTTGACTACACCTTCATAAGTAATTTGAACAGTAGATTCCAAAACAAATAAAAAGTCAAAGTTAACGACATTTTCGGTAAAATCAGAAATCGATCATTTTGTTTAGGTATATTTTTCAAATATTCTAAATTACGTCTAGTAGGTTTGTTTCATGATACTATAAAAAACAAGGTATGATATAACGCAGATTGATACTACATCACAGTGACGTATTATGGTGTGAATGCGTGGCTTTTCCGAATTTGAGGTATCAGCTGATCGAAAACAGTGAGTCTAAATAAATTTCAATCGGTTCAAGGCCAATCATATTCAACACCACAATACGTCATGCGCGAACTAGACAAGATTTCATCGGCTAAGTATCATACCTCTGTAATTTTTTTTATCATGGGTTTGTTCCAAATTTTTATCCAAATTGCTTTATGTATAAAATGGATATTGACGTTCTATGGTCAAATTATCACCCTGCGGACATAGTTTAAATGCTTTCAGTAATTAGAGATTCTTAGGTCAGTTGTTTTATGTTCAATAAATTGAGTAAATAGACCCCTTAGCTCCACGATTTAAATTTAATATATTCTGGAGTGTTTTAATATCAATTGACATTTCTTTACCAGAGTAGAGTATAGTATATTTACAACCGTACCTGAATTATTCCTCCTCCAGGTCCATCTGAGCAATTAAGAAACTCTTCTGGAAGATCCAGAAGCTTTCCAAGCCAGTTCATCATTACCACTTCAAGTTCAGTATACGCCGGACTTGAAATCTGCAATAAAAAATAATTAAATAAATAAATAGCTTCTACTATAGGTTTAGTAGTCGTTTATCCGAAAACATAGTGCATTATGTTGCTGGGGTTCGGTTGATGTATATCTAAACACGTTGCAAGGTACACATTTTGTTTAGGATATTAGAACAATATGAAACAATATATTGACGAGCGGTTTCCCGCGTAATGCCATTCAACGAGTTACAGTAAAGTCGTTTGATAATTATTTATCTGACCTGGGTTAGTAATCAATGTTACCAACTACCGTAACTCTTGGGCTTCTTGATATGTCTCTTAACCTCATTGACTCTTCTTGTTTCTTATCTATTTTATGTTGCTTATTAGTTTTATCCTGTTGTTCACTTTCGCTACCATTGTTTTATTATATGTCTCTATGTATATCATCTTCTTATGTCTAGGATCCTTCCTTTTGTTGCTGCTCTTATCGTCTCGTCTCTTCCAGCTAGTTGGAGTTTCTAGTTGTTCGTATACAACCCTCGTCGTTTCCAAGCCAAAACGAATTTGGTTCTGTGGTGCTGTTGATGACACGGGCTGTTGTTCCCATATCTGGTACCGATACAATGTCTCCTTGCTCCAAGTTTGGTAACGATTTTACTTTGTGTTTTTTGTTATTTTTGTAAGCGTTGTTTCACTTTTTCATAATCTATCATCTCTTGTTGATGAGGCTTATTTTAGATTTCTACCGAATAATAACTGGACGGTACTGTTTGGAGAAGCGCAAATTGTCCATCCATGTTTGAGGAAGAACGAAAGTATTTACACTAAATGGGCAACGAAAGACTAGAAGAAGCAATAGTAGAAGCCAGAGAAAGAACATTGAGAGCATGGCAACAATAGTGTGATTAAAACCAGTACACAGCCCAGTGGACGAAGGAATTGGAAGGAATGGATGGAATGCGACCATAGAGGCACCAAATACTAGAAGATTCATGTGTAGGATCAGAGAAGTTGACAACTGAAACTCTATGTACTGTGGGAAAAGAATTATACCAAAGGATACTGTCTTAGAATGTGAAAGATTTGAATGCACAATAACAAGAGACAAGAATAAAAAAGGGGTAGATGCTAACGGTAGAAGGTTTCTATCTTTCTTTCCCAGTGGAAGGGGCAAGACGACGTGCAACATCAATAGAATATTTGATACTTGACGCCTAAATCTCGAAAAATATTGAATAAACGTTACCACAGCGACTGGAGTAGATGTGGGTTTTAGTGGGTAATCCGAGCTAGCACCAAACGCACCAGTTGTCCCACACTACTAATCCTACTAATGTTGCGTTGGTGTGGTGGCCAAAGACACAGCAAAGGAAAGCAATAACGAGGCTAAGCAAGGTAGAAAGACTTGCCTGCCTCGGAATAACGGGGGCAATGAAAACAACCCCCACTGCTGCAATGGAAGCACTAATAGGACTCCCACCTCTTCACTATGTGATACAAGGGGAGGCAAGATTAGGTGCTTACAGATTAGGGAATACACTGGGAAATCTTGACATTAGGCCAGGTCACATGAGTATCTCAAGGTTAGTGACAGGAGACGTGCTAGACATGAGATCAGACCACATAACCAAGAGGTACTCTTTTAATACTCCCTTTAAGGTTTTAATACAGGAAAGAGCGGAGATCACCATAAGGGAGCCCAATGCCCAACGACAGGAACAAACTTGGTATACAGACGGGTCTAAGACTGCGGAAGGCACTGGGGCAGGAGTATTCTCCAAAAACCCTGATACTAACCATAGCTATGCTATAGGAATACATTCCTCGGTATTTCAGGCCGAGGTATACGCAATTTTGCAATGTGCAAAAACGAACAATGAAAGAGCTGTCGAAAATCAGCATATTCAAATAATGTCAGACAGCCAAGCGGCACTTAAGGCCATATCGAGTCAGAAAGTTACGTCGAGGCTGGTATGGGAATGCATCGAAGAACTAAGAACACTGGCAGACCGAAATAGAGTAAAACTATTTTGGGTGCCAGGTCACAAAGGGATCGAATGCAACGAAAAGGCTGACGAACTTGCAAAAAGAGGGTCAGAAGAAACACCGAAACCAGACACAAACCCAGGAGTACCAAAAAGTACAGTCCGGGGTTTTATAAATGACTGGATTCGGGAACAACATATCAACTATTGGGGAAGCACCCCAAAACAGGCACATGGAAAAGCCTTCATAGGCAGACCATGTCCCAAAAGAACTGGAGAACTACTCTTAATGAATAGGAACCAGTTGAAAGTGATAACAGGGTTCATGACTATGCACGCCCCAGTAAAGGGACACTTGAACAAAATTGGCATGTACAATGGGGAACTCATGTGCCGACTATGTCACAAGAAACCAGAAACGGCCAAACACATACTGTGCGAATGCAAAGCTCTAGATCGCAAAAGACAGGCTCTTTTTGGACAACCCCAGGTTGATCCAACAACGTATAGAACCCACTCACCCAAGGATCTGTACAAACTTGTACAAGGTTCAAAGGTGATAGAGTGGGTGCTATGAACTAACATGGGGTAAACCACAATAAGCCAATAGGCTTCAGTGTTATTCAGAGACACATAGTCAGACGAGCCCAGAGAAAAAAAAATGTTGCGTTTGAAAAGTACCTCGTTTTGCTTTTTAACTCGACTCCGTTCTTTTACTCTAGTGATATGGTTTGCTCGATGTCACGTGACCAAAAAATCTACTCGCCCTGCCAGAGGAGGTACATTTCAAACGTAGCATATGTTGCTAAAGATTAGAGCACATACTTTGATTACTATACGGTGAAAGAGAGAGGTCCGACACGCCCAACATAGGGCGCGGTCATTTTGATGCATTTACCACAGTTTATAGCTAAAGAATCAGTTCGCTTACTCTGCGTCAACACTTTTGATCTCAATGTTCCAGTTTATACACTGCGCAACTCGGATAATACAATATTTGACAACCGTGTATATTCAAACAGCAGTCTTCTGCGCATCCTGAATTTGTATCCCTGGAGTGGATGTTATTTTGGAATATTCAACTGGTCCGAGTGAGCTCACTGATTCTTTAGCAATAAACTGTGCCTTTACTACTAGGTTAGGCAACACATATATTTCCTAAATGTTAAACTGGTAGTCTATACATCCTGGTATTTAGACAATGAAAAGAGAACAATAAAGCACTAAAAATTAACATACAAAATCACCAATTAATTAAAAATAACCGTGTAAATCACGTATAAAACACAAAATCATATATAAATCCTCAAAACTTGTTCGTTGGGGTTTACTGACACTGACAGCAGCAAGCAAAATATTAAAAATATTGCGCTATGATGTAGGCAACACGTATTAAGGCAATAAAATGGCGGAGTTTTCTATCTCCTTTTAAAAGGCACTCAGAAAGCTGCGCAGTGCGACCATTCTCCGTATAGTAAGATAAAATCAAAGTATGTGGATTAGAGTAAACGGTGATCTGTCAAATATACAAGTAGCGACACCTATTCGCACAATGGCAAATCTAATTTTTAGTTCGTTTTTTTGTAGTGGTTGGTTAACCTGTCTTTCATAAGTGTCAATTTTTCACATACATGTCTTATGTCTTGAGTGTGTAATAATCACATACTTTGATTTTCTTTTACTATACGGAGAATGGTCGCACTGCGCAGCTTTCTGAGTGCCTTTTAAAAGGAGATAGAAAACTTCGCCATTTGGAACCCTTATTACGTGTTGTCTACATCTTGGCGCAATATTTTTAATAGGTGCGTTTTAATCATCCGCTTCTGCTTCGGAATTGTCGGTTTTCTTGTTTTAATCTGACAGGTTAGAACGACTTAACCGACAATTTCGGAAGCAGAAGCGGATGGTTAAAACGCACCTGATATTTTGCTTGCTGGTGTCAGTGAATATTATTTTTAGAGTCACAGTTTATTGCTAAAGAATCAGTTAGCTCACTCGGACCAGTTGAAAGTTCCAAAATAACATCCACTCCAGGGATACAAATTCAGGATACGCAGAAGACTGCTGTTTTATTATAGGCGGTTGTCATATATTGTATTATCCGAGTTGCGCAGTGTATAAACTGGAACATTGAGATTAAAAGTGCCGACGCAGAGTAAGCGATCTGATTCTTTAGCTATAAACTGTGGCATAGGAATCAAAATGGCCGCGCCTTAGTTTGGCGTGTCGGACCTCTCTCTTGCACCGTATATTAATCAAAGTATGTGGTAATAATTGTAAAAGTTACTCGCATAAATTAAAATAAAACAAGTTTAAAGTCTTTTTCGATTTTATACCTACACTGCGACACTAAAATTACTAGATGATCATTAAGGATTTCCACCCTGTTTAAAAAAAAGAAAAGTTATAAAGAAGTGCAAGGTAGTTAGTCTTTAGTACAGGGAGGAGTGAAGAAAAAAATATAAATGGCAGCAAATTGTCGCAAAAAATTTTAAATTGAAAATTATATTTATAATCATGATAATGATGATGTTATTTGTAAAGTATTAAAACAAGAGCAACAATACAGCAAAAAGGAATGGAACGAGCAACACATGGAGTACCAAAAGACGAATACCTATCACTTTTTGAGTACTTTCACGAAAAAAAAATATTGTACTAAAAAATATAAAAAAATAATTTTAATTACTTACCCAGCTTAATCCTACACATCCAAATCCTGCACTTAACATTTCCCCGACAACTGCAGGAAATGAATTTGCAGTAGGGTAGTACGCGTGAAATCGGGGTGAGTGCCAATGAGTGATTCCGGGCATGATAAGCCTGTCGACATCTTGAAGAACATCCTGCCACGTTTCACCTGTTTGTGGAGCTTCTTTTGGTAAGAGTTCCCCAAGGTATCCTGGTTTCACTGTTGGTACGACAGGCCTGAAAACAAATAGTTATTGTTTTAAAAAAGTTTTATTAAACTTTATTGAGAAATAAATCTTCCTACTAAACAAATCAGTTTTATGTTCTACGAAATCCAATTTGAAATATGCGATTTAAGGCAGCTTTCTGAAGTAAGGACAAATATATGCAAGAAAGTAAGTAGTTAACCTTCTACTGTGAAGTTCACTATCAGTGCAACTGTAAATAGCAGTTCATGGTTAATTGGGTTTTGAGACCATATCTATCATAAGAAACGAGTTTCTTTTGGGGATTAGAAAAATTTATTAATAATACACATTGTAATGTCATAAAAAGTATATGGAATAATGGCATATACAGATCATTTTATACAGTATGGTACTAAAATAATTAATGATATAAGATACAGATATATTTTACGTTTTAAATTTAAAATTTTTTATGTACCAACTTTACCCTTCAGGTTACCCTTTCGGAATTTCTACGGCCATCGTTACAAGTTACAAGGGGAAGATACAAGGGACGGTCTGAAAACAATCGCTTAATTTACGCACATAGAGAAATAAATAATTGTCTCTCTTGACAGGTACATACCAAAATGTCACTTTTTAATAATTATTTTTTATTTTACAGAAATCTTATTAGACCTTACAAATTTAAAAAATAAAATTCCAATTTTCCGGCTGTGTTAAAACACTTGTTCTCACAAATATCATACTCCAAACATAAATAAAATACAATTTTTACACAATAACAATTCAAATCAATATAGTAATCTAATTAGAACTGTACAGGACAAATTAAAACAGGATGATATAATTTTAACTCGTACTGATAAAGGAAATATAGCAATTTTCATTAATAATATAGAATATAATAACAACTCTTTCATTTCTACAAGCTAGCAACAATTACAGCATACTTAAATTTGATCCAACAGAAAGAAATAAAACTTAATATTCAGCATTCAGCAGCAATATTTGATTCTAGAGAAAAACTCAAACTAATTCAGATGAACCCTTAACCACCATAACGTTATTTTTTAATAAAATTACTCAAAAGTAACTATCCAATAAGACCAGTTGTATCATTTGTCACGGCTCCATCAGTAAAACTTACACATCAATTAATTAAATTTATATAAAATTGCAAATTCCATTCAAAGTACAGTAAGAATCCAGTGGCGTAGTCAACTTTTTTTAAAAATTCTTCAAATTCGAGTTATAGCATAAAGTTGAATTTTTTGATATGGAAACGTGTTGAAATTTTTGGGTTATCCATCAAGAAATTCTTACAAAGTGTACTCTTCAAGCTTTCAAACATGATTATGTTCATCTTCAGGGAAGCTACAATAAAAAATAATTTTGATAAACGTTATATGTTGACAATAATAAAACATTTACTTACAACTCAGTGAGGTCGTGTACATGTGATGGAAAAAGATTAAAATTAGGGGACATCACAGTATAAAAACGAAAAAATGGTTAAAAACTATCCTATCTTACAAAGTGTTTTTCAATTTAAAACGTGGAATCATAGTAAAATGTCTTATGAACACATTGGACATCGACATTCAATAGCTGAAAATGAAACCTTCATGTGTCATTTGCCCATCATCCGTCAATCAAACAGTAGGGAAATGAATATAAGCGCGTGAGACTGCTACACCACCGACCCGATGATGAAACTGAAGAATCCAAAAATAAAGGAGTGTTCCGAGAATTGATAGATTTAAGTTCTGAATTAGACGCAGATTTAAAGGAACATTTCAACAAAGCAACGGTATTTAAAGTGACCTCTAAGACCATACAGAACGAACTATTGCATGCTTGACGTTTACCATGAAGATGTGGCTAGAGAAATAAAATAAAACGAATTATGTGCTGTAATTGCTGACGAAACTACCGGATGTTGCTAACGAATTTCAATTGGTCATTATTCTACGATACATTGTCTCCAGTAATCCAATAAAAAGATTTTGAAAATTTGTAAATCCTCCCGGACACAATTCCATTTCAATAGCAAATTTCATTTTAAATGAAATTAATCCATTAATTAATGACACCCAAAATAAGTTGATCGCGCAGAGTTACGACGGAGCGTCAGTCATGAGCGGAGGTATTAATGGGGTACAAAAAATAATTAAAGATAAATATTCTTTAGCAAATTATGTTCATTGCTATGCACATCACATTAACCTTATAATGAGCAGTGCAGGTTCAATTAATGCGTCTGTTCGGATTTGTTCGCTCATTTAACTGAAATTTGTGCTTTTTTTTCTACATCACCTCAAAGAACAAAAGTATTGGATGATATATTTCATAGACGATTACAACGTCCATCGCAAACGAGATGGAATTTCAAATAAATACAGTTTATGAATACCGAAATGAACTGATACACGTTATGGATATTTTAGAAGACGACAAAGATATTAAATTAAACACACAGGCTAACCGACCGCCGGCGGTGCTTGTATTTGTTGAAAAGAAAACCGTCTTCCGGCGGCATGGTATTCTTGATATAGGAAAGCCACCGCAAATCTAAACTGATTTGTTGATCAGGGCGGCATGCTATCAGTGCACTGAAAAACGCCGCCGGACGACGCGACGGTCTACTGTTTTTAAAACATTGAATGTCGGTGGTAAGAAAAAATACTTGTAAAATCGTCTACATTTTTTTATTTTATTGCATTTCTCATCTATGTAAAAAAATATTTGTCATGAATAGATTTACAATAATTAATCGATAATAATAGACTGTAAGTGTAGTATTCTTTTTAATAAATAATTTAGCTTAATTACATTGTTTAAATTTATTTACAAGAGCATGAGAGTGCATTCGATATTTATACAACCTTTTTTTATCAGATTTTAAATCTCCCGCTGCGTTGTTTGATATCGATGAAAGCGCCACATAGTGGGTCAGATGTTAACTGCTTTAAAGCTGGTCGTTGTTAAGCATTGGCTTCTTATGAGCATTTACTATCTTTATCTCCCTTATCTTTGATGATGGTATTACCGGTAAAATTATTATTTGTTAATCAAGATGTCACTAATCATAAATGCGACGTCTACCTCTGAGTAAACCGTCCAAACTCTCACAGCTAAAAGGTTGCTATTTCCCTTGCGTGGGTTAGGGGGTTTACTCACCTATAGATATCGTGAGCAGAGTTAGTGCATTTGGTTTTAATGCAAATTTGTGAAATGATAAAAAATTAATAAACCATCTATACAACAACAATAAACATGTACATATATTATTGAAAAAGAGGTACTGTATTGAAAACGCAAAAATAAATGAATTTTTAATTTTACAATATGAACATGTCACTGGTATGTTAATGATGTCACCAGCTGAGCGAGATTCAGAAACTATTCACTCAACTATTCTTACATCAGCACCATAACAAGTGCATTTTGTTTTGACTGCAAATGAAATTTTGATTAAAAAAAAAACTTAGATATTTGAGATTCCTGATGTGTCTCCACCAACAACACCGTGCTTCTCAATGAATAAAAGATAAGAAAATATTTCACTAAGATGTTTGATATCTGTTCTTTTAATGATACAGTTTTCATTTTGATATATGTGTGCCATTTCTAGGAACTGTCTTTTAGAATTATTAGTTTCTTTTTCTAGTCCATAATGTGGTAATTTTTATTGACATGTTCTGCTAGTGCACATCTTTCAGGGTGAAATCTACAGTCACTCTTGTGGGATGTGATACGATCTTTTAAGCATCTCACTGTTTGGCCAATATATGTCATCCGGTATTAATTGCTTTCACTGGTACTATAGTTTTGAGATATTTCATAAGTCATCACATACTGATATTATAATACATAATAGTTCCTCTCATCCCTATAAACAAAAGTTAGCAGCATACCACAGTATGATTCATAAATTAGTTAATATCCCTCTTCCCAAAGAAAACTTCACCACAAAAGAATTAAATATCATTAAACAAATTGCAGTAAATAATAGTTTTCATTCAAATTTAATAGACAAAATTTTAGATAAAAAACTTTTTACACATATTCAAGTTTATCGCATAATTAAAGATCAAAATTGTAGCTATAAGGCTTTCACATATGTGAAAAGGTATCGCCATACTTAAGAAAACAAAATATTAACGTAGCTTTCAAAACCAATAATACGCTTGGGAAGTATATTAAAAACAATAACAGCAAAATAATTAATCCCAATAATAAACCTGGAGTATATTATTTAAATTGTGGTAGTGGTTCAAAATTGTATATTGGTCAATCAGTCCGTATTTTTAAAAAACAAATAATTCTACTTTTTAAAATCATATTTAGAGAATAAGATCATTAAATTACATCATTTAGAGACACTTGAAATAAATATATTTAAAAATTCAGATAACCTATTAAATGATCAATTAGATATTAATAACTCACCTTCATTAAATCTCTTTACCTGTTCTTAGTTTTCTATGATAAATGATAAATCAATAGATATTACTATACGGGGGAAAAAGTAAGACATTTTAGTCCAAGGAGCTAAAATACCATTTTTCCCTTTAAGATACATTATTTTTTCTGTGACGGAAAAACATGTAATATGTTAAAAAAACATTATTAATCAGAAATTTGGTAAATGTGGAATTTTATTTTTTAAACTAGTAAGGTCTAATTACGATCTTTCCCCGAAAAAAAGTAATTTAATTAGAACAGACATTTCAGTAAGTCATCTGCCAAGAAAGTCAATACCAATGTCAAACTTTTTTCTCATCACAGAAAAAATATACTTATTGATTTCTAACTACATAAAAAGAAATAACAAGTTCAGATTCGTTTTTATAGTCCATTGTTTTTAGACCGTCCCTCGTATCTTCTTCATTCGGCTATCGTCTTATTTACGCTTATTTACTCGTAAGCGACAAGTGTACACTCACTACGCTCACTATTTGCAATTTCGTAACAGCCTGTCTGCGATTTATTACATAAACACAACTCGAGAATTTTGCCGTACTTTTACACCTGACGTGATGTGTGACATAAGATATTACGAATTAATTTTGAGACTCACTTTTAGGTTAATGACAGCATAATTATACCGTTATAACCCGGTTTTTGTTTGAATCGTGAAACTCATTAAATCGAAAGATTTAATATAAATATTATGATTAAGATGATGCTGGGTAGTTTATGCTAATGAACTAATGAAGACTGGTAGAAGAAGAATAAAAAAAAGGTAGGTTAGTAGAACTAATCGAGATTATTGTTGAACGGGTCTGTAAATAAAGGAAATATAAATAGATATTTCGTGTTTTTGTCAACTTACTTAAATAAAATTTAAATTTAAATATAAACAAATAAAACTATTATTTTATAAAATTATTAAGAAGTCAAATTTACAAACACAGGAGAACAGCGAATATAACCAACCGTAAATCAATTTTAAGTAAAGCAGCAACATATTCGTCATATTAGTTTTACTATTAAATAAATTAAAATGATAGCCTAGACCTAGAGAAAATAAATACGTGTTTCAGACAATGCGAACGAGAAATATTCGTCAAAATATTTCAGAAAATATTTAAGAAAATATTTAAGAAAATATTTAAGAAAATATTTAAGAAAATATTTAAGAAAATATTTAAGAAAATATTTAAGAAAATATTTAAGAAAATATTTAAGAAAATATTTAAGAAAATATTTAAGAAAATATTTAAGAAAATATTTAAGAAAATATTTAAGAAAATATTTAAGAAAATATTTAAGAAAATATTTAAGAAAATATTTAAGAAAATATTTAAGAAAATATTTAAGAAAATATTTAAGAAAATATTTAAGAAAATATTCGATAAAATAAATATTCGTGAAAATATTCGAGAAAATTTTCGATAAAATAAATATTCGAAAAAATAAACATTCGTGAAAATATTCGAAAAAATATTCGAGACAATATTTGAGAAAATATTTGAGAAAATTTTCGAGAAAACATTCAAGAAAATATTCGATCAAATAAATATTCGAGAAGAATAATATTCCAGAAACTAAATATTCGAGAAAATAAATATTCGTGAAAATATTCGAGAAAATTTTCGATAAAATAAATATTCGAAAAAATAAACATTCGTGGAAATATTCGAAAAAATATTCGAGACAATATTTGAGAAAATATTTGAGAAAATTTTCGAGAAAACATTCAAGAAAATATTCGATCAAATAAATATTCGAGAAGAATAATATTCCAGAAACTAAATATTCGAGAAAATAAATATTCATGAAAATATTCGAGAAATTATTCTTTAAAATATTCGAGAAATTATTCTTTAAAATATTCGAGAAAATAGTCGAGAAAATATTCGAAAAAATATTCAAGAAAATACTCGAGAAAATATTCGAAAAAACATTCGAGAAAATATTCGAGAAAATATTCGAGAAAATATTCGAGAAAATATTTGAGAAAATATTCGAGAAATTATTCGAGAAAATATTCGAGAAAATATTCGAGAAAATATTCTTGAAAATATTCGAGAAATTATTCTTTAAAATATTCGAGAAAATAGTCGAGAAAATAGTCGAGAAAATAGTCGAGAAAATATTCAAAAAATATTCAAGAAAATACTCGAGAAAATATTTGAGAAAATATTCGAGAAAACATTCGTGAAAATATTCGAAAAAATATTCGACAAAGTAAATATTCGAGAAAATAAATATTCTTGAAAATATTCGAGAAAATACTGAAAATATTCGAGAAAATATTCGAGAAAATATTTGGAAAAATATTCAGCTGTCAACGTCATTTAAATGTTTTTTTTAATATATTCAAAGGTTCACAAGTGTTTAAATTTTCTTTATTAGATTTTGAGTTGATTGATTTTAAAATTTGAAATAAACTATTAAAATAGACTTTTAAATTAAATCACAAAATCTCAAAAAAAACTCTAGAAATACCACTAAAAACTACCTTATAACATAACAGAACAAAGCAAATCTGGTTAAATTGTCTCCAAGACGCAGTCCATAAAAATTAGAAGAGCAAAACAAAACATAATCTAACTCTTTGGTAAAAAAGCCAGTTATTTCATCGGACTTCGTCGTCCAATCTATCTAACAGGATATTCCGCATCCAAATAACATCTGACTGCAGCATAAAGCAAAGAACGCAAGTAGAAGAGAAGCCACTTGAGCCGATTTTTTATACTTTTCCCCAGATATGGGGAAATTTGTAGATGTGGCAACGTCGCAATACATTGAGTAGATTGTAAGTACTTTTACATTTCCCCGGACATCGAGCGATTTTGTAGCCAGAAAACCCAAAGAAAATAGGCAACGTCGCATTGACGTCCGACGATTCGATTGATAGATCCCTTGGACAGATAGGATCTTGGACACCAATGCTTCTTAAATGGAAAATGTGTAGTTCACTTTAGACAGTAGAGTGCTGGTGTGGACATTTAAGTAAAGATAGGACACATATTTCTAATAATTTAAATGGGGGAAAGTTATTTGTAATAGGGTAAAGTTAACATTTGACAATGAAAATAAAATATATTTTTAAAGTAACAGTATTAAATATTTACAGTAACTCAATAAGTTTCAAAATTATCTCTCTGTGAAGTTCAGCTATTTTATTTAGCTCCATTTTTAGTAAACTTGTAAGTTCGCCTTGTTTCTTCGTTTTATTAATTTTCATCTTTTCTCGGTAAATTGCTTTAGAACTTCTCGTATGCCCTCCTAACGTACGTTTGTACTACTGCGCATGCGCAAAAATCTTGGTGGTGGAGACAATAAATTATTTGTTTAAAGTATTGAGACATTAAAGACTTTTCCAGTCTACTCAGAAATTTTCTACGAATAGCTTCTCTAAAAATAACAAAAAATGTCTTCATTATCAAAAACTGATTATTTGACTCTCATGAATCTAAATGAAATTAACACTTTGCCGCCACAGGAAATGGCACAAGAATACGAAGAATAATCTAAAGAATGGTATCACTTAATATTAAATGAAAATGACTTTAATTTAATTGCTTGTGCTTTAAATATTAAATGGTATTCTATTTTTATCTAATAGCAAACGATAGTAGTACAGCCCATGATCATCTTCACGCTTTAATACATTTTACTAATGTATTTACAATGTTAGCCTACAAGAAAAAAACTACAGCGCACTGGCACACGACTCCATTCAAAAACAGGAAAATAATGTGCTTGGACCATGCTGTTGGTGTCCTCAGATACATCACCTGTGCTGATGGACAAAAGCCGCTTAGAAGGGATGGAGATGGTCTTAGAGGCACACCTCATTCTTATTACGATAGAAGAGTATTGAAACAAGATTGGTTACATTCCCGAGGAAAACAGTGTTGCTTAGTATGCACAGAAATTTCAGAATTAGCATCTGAAGCATCTGAAGGTGTTACAGATTTAGAAAAATACACACTGGAAAAAGAACTTCATAATAAATCTACGTGTGGATATGATAGAGGTGACGAAGGAATAAGGCGAAGGGAAAAAGCTAACGAACGGGGAATGGAAATTAGGGATAATTCCAAAGAAAAAACAAATTAGGAAAAAGAAACTAATTATAAGTATACTAAAAATGGGCTCAAATAAAAAAGATGATCTTCAAAGAGTTACTTATTGTTACTGTTGGGTTACTGTAAATACTTAATACTGTTACTTTAAAAATATAATTTTGAAACAAAATATATGTTATTTTTATTGTCTAATGTTCACTTTATCTTATTACAAATAACTTTCCCCCATTTAAATTATTAGCAAAGTAAATGTTAACACCAGCACTCTACTGTCCAAGATCCTATCTGTCTAAGGGATCTGTCGATTGAATCGTAGGGCGTCAATACGACGTTGCCTATTTTCTGTGGGTTTTCTGGCTACAAAATCGCTTAAAGTCTGGGGAAATGTAAAAGTACTTACATCTACTTCATGTATTGCAACATTGTCATATCTACAAATTTGCCCAGATCTGGAGAAAAATAGAAAAAATCGGCTCAAGTGGCTTCTCTTCTAATAACGCATTAGGCAATCGTGGCCACCTAGCATCTCGGACTGTGCTAGTCTAGATCGCTCGTGATCTCCCGAGATTATATAGATTATATAGAAAATATTGGAGGAAAACGCGATACGAGCGAGCATAGCTCGAGAACACCAAGTGCAAATGCATGCGTTATAAAATATGGGAAAGAACATCATCGCGACCGCTCGAGACTAGTACAGACCACGATATAAGGGTGTCTCCTAATGCCTAATGCGTTTCCACCCTAATAGTGTGCAGGAGCTCCATCTTGTTCGAACATTATTTCCAAATTATCAATTTTATCTGGATTATCTTCCACATTTTCTAGAATTAACGGCTCAATAGCAGTATTTAGCATTTGCAGGTAAATGTCATGTCAAATTAACATTCAAAAATATAGCTTCAACTATGCGGATATCCAGAATGCCTACATTTATATTTTCAGTAAGATGTATATTTTTGTCACGAAACACATGAGGACTTGTTTCAAATAGTTGAAGAAGCTCCCTCAAAAAAGTCCTGAGTATAGAACCATCGGGGTACCGTTACACTACATGCATTTTTTTTTTCAATTTTTACTAAGGATTAAGATAGCTGCTACTTTGTTTTCTAACATACTTATTGTGCTTAGTTATAGTCTGAATAAAATAGGAGTGCACAATAATATAAACTAATACAAAATTCCGAATCATTTAAAATACATACGATACAACTCTGAATAAATAAAGTCTGACTTATCTATCAAAAAAAAAGGTTTATTACAGTAAAAACAATTAAAACATGATTGAATCTAAACGAAAACTTTTATTAGGCCGATCAGATGTATTAAAATGTTCATTTTAACTATAAATAAGCATAGAAGGGCAGTGACGCATCCAGAGTTTAAGTCTGGGGGGGTAGTGGTAATCAAGGTCGCTGGGGCAAAATACTGGCAAGGGCCCGCCCCTCATATATTATAACTAGAGTTGGCAAAGGACCCCGCAATAATCTTATGGAAATTGGGTTTCTGTCAAATTGTCTAAATTTTTGATATGTTGTAGATTGTGTCATCCTGAACAAAAGTCTCCATGAGCACAAAGTGCCAAAATGAATCCGCTAGTTCAGTGTGATGTCATTTTGGTTCCACTGACATTTAATTCTAACCAAACTTTTAACAAAAACATCAATAAATTTGACATATACGTTTTTACTGCTTTTAGTTTATTTCTATAAATTATTTACAGGCCATAAAAAATAGTTTAAAGGTATGTAATTGGTAACTAAACGATAGTATATTTGATGCATGTTATCTACTTACTTTAGGAATATATTTATAAAAGTGAAAAACGATATAATTTAGATAAAAAAAAACAAACAAAACGCACTCAAAAAATCTACTGTCACTTTAATTGTCAGTGGAACCATAATTACATAATCACTGAACTAGCGCATATTTGGCAGCTACGGAGCTGCCAAAGCTCCCCTAACCCGTTGCAAAACTATTCATTTTCAATACTATTTACAGATGTCAAAAGCATATTTTAATTATTCTAATATATAGGGTAATGTTTTTGAGGTCACTGAATTCAACCCTCATGTCAGATTGGACAAATTGACCGTTCACAACTGTCAATACACTGTCAACGAAGAATAGAAAAATAAATATTATCTGTTGACATTGAGAGTTTAGGCTTCTGAGGGAGCTGAATTCAATTCTAGTATCAGATTGGAAAAATTGACAGTTGACCGTGGACCGCACGCCCCTGCCTTTGAAGCAAGACAGTTTGTCGATATATTTTCATAAAGTTTAATATGATTTAAACCTGTGATTCGTTCGTTTGAAGCAGATACTTTACTGCTAGATCACGACGTCTGTATATCTATAAATCTTCGATAAATTGTTGAAGTAAATCAATTATTTTAATGTCAATTTAAATAATTATATATAAAATAATTAGCATCCCAATTTAGAAATTACATAATGCTTCGTAAACAATGTTGAATATCAATGTCAGATTTTTTTTTAATAAATTGGTAACGCTGCAATTGTTATAATTTTTCCTGAATGCAATTACCCACATATCTAATTACAAGTTTATTTTGATCCGTAATTCAGGAAAGTAAGATTCGTTATGTAACAGACACGCTTTTTAATTTTGTATCACCAGCTCCGTTTATTTTTAGAATTTGAATTAAATAATGATGCATTTGTTTTATCTATTATTAAAACAATTTCTTGTAATATACTATTATTACTTATACTATTATTTACTCAATTTCCTATGAAATCATAATATATTATTACTTACTACGAGCCCTAATAACTATATGTTGTAGTTTTACGTTACATTGACATTATTTTCGAAATGTATTATGAACATTTAAAAGGAAATCTGTTTATACTTAGAAAGAGATTTAAGATTTATTTATTAGAAAATTCTCATAAGTTATTGAAAACTATTTTAGACTATAACTAATAACAGGGATCCTTACCGGGCATTGCCGACTAAAAGGACACCTAAGTAAACTGAGAGTAGTAGAGGATAGTGAATGCAGATTCTGTGAGGAGGAGGACGAACTCTCCATTCACATCCTAACTGAATGTGTAGCACTCCAAGGGCACTATATCTAGGAGGATATCAAATAGAAGAGGGAGATTTATCTAACTTGAAGCCACTTCAAATCCTACACTTCCTTGAGAAAATAGGATTGGAAGGGTCGCTATAGGCATTGAGACATTTTCTTAGTGCAGTGGCGACAGAAGGGGGCACAATACATCTTTTAGGTCGCAGTGTATTAACACCCCATTCTCAACATAACATAATGCCAGGAGCGGTTTCTCCATTGGTTCATTTGTGCAGTGAACACCCAGTTAAATTTAATAAAAACACATTATTTTAAAATTACATAAATAACATAAAAATATAAATTTAGTTTTAATATTTTTATTTTCATACGTATTAATCTATATTTTTTGGTACATTATTGTCCTCTGACTGATCGCATCTTGTGGCACAGTATACCTAAGTATACTGTGTCTGTGGCGCATTATGTTAAGTGAGCCTAACACGAGTGAGACGATATGGTGAATGCATATAGCTAAAAAAGAAGAAAACACGTCAACAGATTCTTCAAATTGTCAAAGAACACATTAATTGGCGCGCCGCTCACAAACAAGGTTGCCAAACCAGTGTTGCCAGTCTAGTACAATTCATAATTGTACTAGATGTAGTACTTTCTGCGTGCATCAGTGTTCACGTGTAAAAAATATATATTGTGTTCCTTGTTTGGTTTCGTTATCAATAAAAACCCCCAAATAGAATTCGAAAAGTCTGATACATTTAAGGAATCTGGTACATTTATTAGACAAATCTGGTACATAACAAAAGCATATTCTGGTAACACTGTACCAAATAAACGGTTTTAATAAAATTAAGATTATTTTATTATTTGTGATCATTTAAAAAAATGTGTTTAATTGAGAACTGCAACTTTATAAAAACCTTTTAAGGTTATGTTGTTTACATATAATAAAGTTATACGACTGTAATTTGTTTTATATTTTGTTTCAGTGCCTAAGACCATCCGAAGACTAATTCAAAATGGTCTATTGGTAAATGGTAAATACTATGAAATAAGAAGTAAGCAAAAAATTTGTAAATTTTTTTTCCCACAAAACCCGCTAAAACGAAAAATTTTATTATTCTGATCAGGTAACTACTTGACATCATTATGGAAATGGAAATGTACAATAAAAATTTGATAGAGATAAAGAGATAAATGGTTTTTCACTTTAAAAGTCTGAATCGGAAAAATGGATTAACCAGTTAATATAATATACTCGATGAGAAATTTTACCTAAGAAATGGTATGTACATTTAAATATTTTACCTATATAAAATTATGTTTGCATATAATTATCAATCGTGTTACCCTCTAACCAAGAACGTTTGTTGCATATAAACCAGAAATCTTTTATTTTAATGATATTTTTTTATTGCCTTGTTTGTAAAATTTAGTATTTTCAAAAAATAATAGATGTTATGGTAATTTGAATCACTACAGGTATTAAATAAAAATAAGGCTATTGCTAAATTAGTTTACAGTTGCTAATAAAGAATGTCTCGAAATAAGTATCAAACATAAATTGTGATTTTGATTATTAGGCACTTAACAAGTCACATCCCATATATCTACATGCTCTGGCTAATCAATCCTACATATTAAAAAACATTAATATACTATCTACAATTAAACAATAATTTGAAAATACAGATGAAGCCGATTTACCTATTTAAACAAAATTACTATTATTTATGAAAACACATTATTTTTTAGTAAACTTGGACAAGCTAAGCAGCCATGAGGGTAGGACATTAGTGAAAGCAAGAATACTTTGGAATGTGCTGTGAAATACACTTAGAAAGGGTCATATGGAGAATTAAGTGTAATAACATTTTACGATAGGTATCTCACTAGTTTAGTTCACAGATTTGTTTTCTGTATTCAATTATATGCTGCTATTTCAGACTTTTAGTATCCTTTGATAAAAGAAGTTGAATATTATTGTTGACCTTTTTAAATTGTATATTTTACCTCATACATTTTTTTCTACTCTTCATACAGTATTCTGTGAAGAGTATTATAGGTTTACTTTGTCTGTCTGTCCGATGTCATGTTTTTTTGTCTGCACGATAAGTCAAAAACGAGAAATGATATCAACTTGAAAATTTTAAACAAAAATCAAGCTCTATAAGGGGACAAAGCCTATTGATTTTTAACAAATCGGAATAAAAATAGGGGGTTAAGATGGGTTGAAATTAAAAAAAATCCTAAATTAAGAACGAAAAGCAATATTAATATGAAATTTTTAGTAAAAATGAAGCTTTATAGGAAGATAAAGCCTATTGATACTGAAAAAAATATGTATATATTGGTGAGTGAAGGGGGTTAAAATATATAAAAAAAAATCCTAACTGAAAAATTTGAAATTTTTAGCCAACATCAATCTCTAAAAGGAGAAGAAGCCCTTTCATTACAAAAAAAAATCTGATTAAATATGGGGGATTTAAGGGGGTTGAAATTAAAAAAAATCAAAAATGAAAAGCGATATCAAGATGAAATTTTTAGTAAAAATTAGGATCTATAAGGTGATGAGGCCTATTGATTGTGAAAACAATCTGCCTAAAAATGGGGGTTAAGTGGGTCTATTAAACTGCGAAGAGTATCATTTAAAATGCCAGGCATTATATATCTTTATTCTAGTTTGTGTCTGTGTAATATTATGTATTGTGATGGGACTGATCTTATAAAATAAACATTTAAAACATTTTAGTTCTTATTTTATTAGCTAATAAAAGGTATTTAAAAAATATATTTTTTATTTGAGATTTGTGACAAATTGTAAAAATGATTAAACTTACAATAAAAACTAAAAAATGGTAGGTAAAGTTTCATATAAAATTTTTTACACAAAAATCAATGTTAAGCTTTCTACATAACCTGATATATATTTAAAAATAATCTCAAATTATGAAGAAAAGTCAGTTTATTAACTAATAATGTTTATAGATGGTTTTCAACGTATTAAAAACCAAACAAATATCACACTAACTAAAATATTCATTTATTAATAGTTGTAGTGCTTGAAAACAGTATGATGTTGACAATAATAACTACACTTAATACAAACTCAAATAATAAAAGAAAACAGCGATATTGACTGTTGTACAAAGTTTTGATCCGAACTTACATATGATAAAATTATTGGAAAAAGTGAACACCCATTTTAAATTATCACAAGTCGCCACTGAATGAGATAAACTGTATATTAATATATTAAATAGCAATGAAATAAATAATACATTTTATTTCCATCAAAAAATAATACATGACAAAACTCGTAAGAGACATAGAAGTTAAAAAAAATCTTGCATTATTGATTTGAGTTTAAAATTTAAAAAAAAACAAGGTTTAAACAAAAAGGCATTTTAAATGGGTTGCAAAAAAATAGGAAAAACGAATTATTTATAATTTCTTTGTCAACGTATAGCTCGGTACATGTTTATTTTGACTTCTAGAATACGTCCTTAAAATATTTTAATTTTCTCGTATATAAAAATATTGAAAATACATATTTTAGACTGATTTTTATAAATTTAAAACAAAATATTGCTAAATATATCAACAAAAATTTTAATAACATTGTTTTTTTATTATCAGACAAGTAATAAAAATGTAAGATTCTTAAAAGAGCTTATTCTTCGTCCCGAAACTTTGAAATTTAAATTTTATGTGGGGAATTATTTTCGAATATCTTCTATTTTCTCTTTGATAACTCCCAATTGAATTGATTTTGTAAATAAATAATTAGAATTTATCCCTAATACTTTATTATAATATAATTTTTCTGATTAAGGGAAATAATTTTTCTTCAAACTTTTTCGACCTAGTTATCAAAAATTATATTTTCTATATATTATGTAGTTCCGTCAGGCGATCTTCAAATTTAACTTACCTATCTCTTATAGTTTCAATGTAGTCGGCAATATAATCCACTGCAGCTTTACCAAACTCCCTGAATTGTTGCACATCCATATTAAAAAAAAAAGATATAAAATCACTTTCTTCTAAAGGTCAAAACAAAACTCTGCCCACTTTCACACTCACTCTGAATAATCACGATATCGCAGTAATAACTAGTAACTGGAGGAGGATTTAAATAAAAGTGAGAATAAAAGTCGATTCTCTTTTTATAAACGTTGGATCTACGTAACCACGACACTACTTTGCACTTTACTCTGCCTTGCCCTTCAATATTGCAAGCACAACTTTTTATTGTTTCAGCCTGTCGAGTACTTCTTCAAGAATAGACGTTCGATAGTTGACAGGTTATTATATACACAAATCATAATTTGGCTGGAATCAAGAAACACTTCTTGTATTGTTATATTGTCATGGTTTAACGCTTTAATCACACCTCAAATAATCCTTGGAAATTAGAAAAAATACACGTGTTTCCCTATCATCTAGCCGCTAATTTCTTCCTATTACAATGAATTTTTGAAGCCGAAATGAAAGAACAATCCGAAAATTTATGTTACCATTTTTCTAGGTTCTCGAAAACTTGTTATATTTCTTTACCGATATTATCCGAATGATTTGATTAAATAAAAGTTTTGTTGCTCTTCTTAAAGTTTTTGAAGGGTGACAGTGGGGATACTTTCCCCACTATAGCTATTGAGACCGATTACTGACTTTCTATTCACGAACACAAGTGTCGATATATTCTTAATAGATCTTTTCTGTTCTTAAATTGCCCGATAATGTTGATATTAAATTTTTTGGATTGATTAATCATTTTTTAGGATATATTACTTGCTTGTATTTTAAAATAAGATACAGGTAACAAATTTAGATAAATCACTTTTTATTTAGATATTTTAAAGTACTCAAATAGAAAACATTTCTCTTAAATAAGTTAATAGAATTTTGATTACTGGATAAGCTTGATTTATCTCTGCTGTCAAAATGTTTTCTGAATACTACCAATTGGCTGTATTTTTTTATTCTAAACAAGTATCGTCTATATTGGTTTCCGTAAATGTTTGAAAATAGTTCCTAAATATGAAAACGTGACATTTTGCTTAACGAATTTTGTTACTAAGATTCTAATTGACTCACTTGTAAAAATCCTAATGAAAAATAATAAATGTTGAGTATAGATATCAAATAGTGTTTTCATCGTAAATACTTTGTCAGAGGAAGAATTTAAAGAAAAATTATGCATTTTAAACATAAAATTTTATTTTACAGAAAATAAATTCTGTTAGTTTTTATTCAAATGTAGTAAACGATATTTATAAAAAAAAGATTACAAATGTTTACACTGTTAATATTGTTTATGATACACTGTACTGTTTTACCGTGATAACCAACCTATCTTTATGGTTGTTAAGGACGTCTTAACTGGATAGTCCGGTAAACATTTTAACAACAATTATGGTATAACTGAACTGTCATTATTTTAAGATACATTCGGAAACTTATGATGATAAATGATAAAATTTTATTTGATTTTAGGTTGCAAAACCTAGTAAATTGTAGTATGTCATGAAACGTACGATATATGCCCGTTACCTGATCTCTACGTGCTCGCATGGTTATATAAGGTGCTCGCTAGCGCTCACACAGTTTGTTTTATGTGCATTAAAAATAGGCATATTTTAAAAAAATATATGAATCGGTGAGTGAAAGAACAATACATATCCAAAAAAACAATTTTAAAGGAGAGCTATGGGTTATTCGGCCTAATTATGTATTGTGAAGTTATAGAATTTTTGTTAACCGATAATAATATGTACATAAATTTAAAAATAAAATTATGCAAAATATGATATTTGAAGAAAATGGCTTGCAGTTATATTGTTCTTTCACTCAATTTAAAAAAAATCCTTTAATTTTTTTTTGTAGCTTTATTGATTATTATTTAACAAACTTATTTTTAATTTTTTAATCAGAATCTTCATTTTTGACTTTCCAAGAAATAATATATGGTAGTAAAACTCTAGGATTTCATCACTAAAGTAGAATAAAAGTATCTTTATATTGGCTATCTTCTTTACGTTAATAGGGACAAGTTCTGAGTATGTCTTTTCTAATGGCGAGCATACACGTAACGGTCTACCGGAGAAGCCTACCTGTGCAGGTATTCCTGCGCAGGTCGGCTTTATGTCGTAGCGTGCATGTCTACCTGTGCAGGCACACCTACACAGACAGACCGTATGCCCGCCATAAGGGTAACTGCAGATTGGCATTAGGTTTGATATCAGTCTAATGCGCCCCACACATAAAAGTGTGCGAGAGAAAACCGCCTATGAAGGCACTTGTAGTAACATATCCAGAAGTTTTACCAGTGTATGTAAACTGGCTGTACTGTGGAATGACAAAATTAGCTTTTTGTTCATTAGCTGATTTAGAGGTTTTTTATAAAAGTGCGACCACCAGTTTTTGAAATTTGTCTACGAAACAACATGGCTACTGAGTGAAAAAATAGTACATGCGCAGTACTTGTACTGTTCTTTCCCTCAACCGAAAATTGAACAAGCCCCCATCGCTCGTATGATGTTGGTCTGTGCATTATTCTTTCGCTATGTGATAGGCCTATGAATTTTAAACAATTTGCCTATCTCAGTTAAAATTACCGTTTTTGGCACTTGTACTGTTCTTTCACTCACTGATTCATATAAAAATTAGGTTTACAATACCTACGTTTTGCTGTGCTTACTTGACATAATTTTTTAAAAATGTCCAATTTGATAAAGCCTAAATTAAGTAAGTTTTCTGGCAACCTCTCGTGGATTTTTCAGTACTATGCATAATTTAGTGCCATATTTTAAAGTGAATTGAAACACCTTTAAAATGTAATTCATCGTGAATTTAATAAAGATTTCTCTTTTATTTTTCAAAAAATAACAAATGATAAAATGTGATTAATGACCTATGAAATTAAAAAAATACCGTTTTTTGTAGATCGTTCTACATACACATGTGGTACCCTTTTGCTTTACGTTCATTTGATATCGGCGTAAAAGTACTGGTCGACTCTTGACTTTTATGATTTTTTTTTCCTACAGAAATTTTTGACATTATCCTGTTTGCATGAAATTCATTACATTTTTCTATACATAGAAAAATATCAAAAATTCCAATAGAAATTAATCGACCCCAGATTTTAGGCAGACTTATGAATTGCTTTCATAGGAGATTCAAGTATAACGTTTAGAACATATAGATTTTCAGGTACACAACCTTCTGTAATAAGGAAACCCGTGTCGTGTGTGCTTTGGTCCAGCGATTCACAGATCTTTGGCACGCCCATAAAATATACGTGACTAGGTGATATGTTTTGTCTACCAGCTTTTTAGCCTCTATTAACCAGTCGCCAGTTTTGCGTTTGTGGTGGTAGTATACACAAATTTATTATTTGCAAGCTTTAAAAGATGAATAACATTTTCGTTGAATTAAGGAACATACATTTTTTTGGAAAAATGAAAATGATAGTAGTACTAGGCCATATCTTATACACCGGTATCTGTCGTAACCCACGTGGAAAAGAAGCCTATCAAATATCGGTGTAAGTAATGCACCTGTTCTAAATGAGTAGGACGAATATCACTCAGACCACTAATGATTAATACTTTCGTTTGGAAAATAAATATATTAAAATAAAAATACAAAACTAATATATCATCTCACTTATTGTGTAACCGTAAAACTAATAAATATCTACGTTTTTTAATAATAGAAGTTCAAGTCATATCATTAGTCATAACAATTAAATTATCTTTGTGATAATCTTACAATCACAGGACATGTGATTATACTGAGAACAACACAGTAATAATGTTACTTGAAGTTTTAAAAACGATTAAAGTTTGTAGATTCCAACTTCTGCTAGATGAAATTTCACTTTTTATCTTCAATTAAGTCCTATAAAAATTTTGACAATTAATGTACAGTGCTTCTCAAAAGTCCTCTCCCCTCTCTTTTTCTTTTGAACGGTGATACTTAGACTGATGAAATTTGGAGGCTGAAAATGAACTATCGTAAGCTTCTCTACTAGTGGTAATAGGTGACGTAATAGGCATCGGTGACGTCACCAGGCAACTGAAACCAATAATATTAAATGGGACCTTAGTTTAACCATCAAAAACATCATAAATCCAAAAAAAATAGTATGACTGAATAGGTATTCTTAATACCTTTTAAACGAGGTGTCACTTGATATAAGGTCCTATTTAATATTATTGGTTTCAGATGCCTGGTGACGTCACCAATGCCTATTACGTCACCTATTACCACTAGTAGAGAAGCTTACAATAGTTCATTTTCACCCTCCAAATTTCATCAGTCTAAGTATCACCGTTCAAAAGAAAAGAAGGGGGAGGGGACTTTTGAGAAGAACTGTATAGTGGTCTTCTGCTTTTTTCTTTATTTGTTCCTAAAGAATACTTACCTAGAATGTCGTGAAAGGCGTCCTTTTGGTCTCGACGTACTAGCTCTCACTTTCGCCTTTAAAACTGAAAATTATATAAAAATAATAGATGTAACAAATTGTTCTAAAACTTACTGATTACCACCAAACTAAGACTAGTAACTATTTTTTCAGTGAGTGTGCTCATATAAAAAATAGTACTCCTATTAATAATATTTGAGGAAAATGAAATACCACTCTAATGTGATGAGTTAGCGTATGATCCTAAAGTTTCTAGAGAATAATTAAATGCTAATAATAAGAGTTGTTTTTTTGTCATGATTAAACTTAATATTAATATTAATGAAATCACAATAATGCGACAGCTGTTTGACGTAAGTGTCGCATCAATATGGCGGACTGATTCCGCTTTTGACCACGTGATCGCATCTCCCTATAATACTACCTCAATGCTTGTATGCTTTCATCTGACATTTGTCTGTCCCCGTTGACAGGTATATATGTTATGAAGACTAGAGAGAAGGAGGCGAATTGGCAATGGTCAAATTTCAATTTCCATCCTTCTTTTTATAGAGTTCGCGAAATTGACTGTAGTTGGCATGTCGAATTACAGCGGTGTCAATTTTCTATGTAAGTCAATGCAAAATGAAGTTGTTTTTTTTTTAAACATTGGTGAAAAAATCAAAATAATGTGAAAAAAGTACCTGAGTACAAGTAACATGAGTGACAAAAAACATCAGAGCAAGATTTAACGTCTTCTAGATTGTAAAACAGGATACAAATCAAATGTAAAACTAAAGAAAACACAAGAAGAAATCAATTCAATGTCTGTTTAAAGATTCTAATGTAAGTAAAATTATGTATTTATATCTGAATATAATATTTATTGTAAACTAGTCACAATATATATCTTACGGAGTGTAGTTTATTTTATTACAAGTTTCTATAATATAAAATTTTACAGGCATAGATCCTGATTTACAAACAGCAATAATTATGCATTAAATTTAACTTACTAGAAAAAAAATATTTTTTATAGTTTTAATGTTAGATAAAGAGTTGCTACTGTTATTTTTTTGTTGAACCCCAATTGTATCATTGTTAATGTTTTTTATAGTATACTAAAAGCTTAGAACAGTGGCAGCATATATATCGTTTCTAGTGCTGATAAAGCACTTTCTAGAGATGATGCTGTTCTATACTGTTTAGAAGATACTATCTAATATTATGAGACTATTTTTACTGATGGTACTGTTGGCAAAATAAAAAGGGGAAAGCTGAAATTAAAGGATGAGGTAATACTCGATGTCTTAGCTCCATTATGGGACAAGGGAAAAAGATAGGAAAAAGTTGAAAAGAGGTTCTTAAATGGGATAGAGTAAAGTCCGTTTTAAGCCCAATTTGCATATTTGTCCATATTTGGAAACTGAGGTAATGACGTCATCGATTTTTTTTATCAACTCTGTATAGTTTTTGTCTGCCGGAAGATCAAATGTTTTCGGAGGTTTCATCAAAGTATTCGAAGGTTAAAATCTGAGTCTGAAGAAGATATTTTACTGTATTTAAACGTTGTTGTAGATTATTTATTAGAGCATTTACCAACTGTGATCTTCTGCTGAAGTTGTTGACATAATGCAGTTTATTATATCGTGTAAACCTTATTTACCCGCGCCACCAAAATATTATATATTTGAATAAATATATTAATATTACTTGTTATATGTATATGTTTCTTTTTATAATACAGGGTAATTTATATTTAATACATAATAAATGGACAAACGTACATTTTGGTGCCTTCCTTCTACATCATTTCGTGAAACTGTTCTTAAAACTGTCGCTAATTTTTATTGTTTCTTCACGTAATTCAAGGTAAGTTAATGCACGGTATACCCTCTTCACATTCCTTTATAGTCTTATAAATTGTTGATGGGAAATAAGATTGTAAATTCCTCTACAAATATCCAACTTATAAGAGATTTTCTTGAATTGGAGCAGCAAAACTAAACTTTCAAAAGTTAATTGAAATATTTAATTTTCTTTGACAACTTGATTAAACCCCATTTGGTACATCTAGTACATCTTAAAATTTTTGAAAAACTTTAAGACCATATGGTATTTAAAAAAAAGTAGTAGGTATTTAAAGTAATATTTGTTATTGTGAAGAACTTCCTAATTTTTTATTTACAACCATTGTTTCAGTTTTTAAATTTTATATTAGTAAAAAAAAATATTAAATCGACTAGACACTATTAAATCGCAACTTAGATTCAAATGATCTGTTGTAACTGCAGCATCACTTTCACATTATTCATAGAAATAATATTATACAATATTTTAAATACATAATATTTATTTGGTGAAATATTAACCTTGAACCAAAATTTGGAATTTTGAGTCTAAAATAAAATAAACAAGAATTGTATTTCTAGGCATAAGGCAACACATTATATTAAATAGTTTTTGAAATTTTTTATATTTCCGCGTAATACAGTAAAAATTTTGAAATCTATAATAACCTAATTGACTATTGGTTTAGTTTTAAGGGGTACAAAACTGGACAATATATTACACTAATCCACAAGACTTACATTTTGTACCAAGGTAGAATAAATGGGGTAACTTACTAATTATTAATGATTAATAAAATCAACTAGGATTCAAATAAAGTATATGATGATTTGGTGTTTAGTTGTTAAACACGTTTATTACAATATTTTACATTTTGAACATAGAGGTTTTTATAATTAATTATGTCACATTAAATAAACCAGAAATGAGTTTATTTAGTAGCTCTATTGGTCTTTATGATATTGATTCTTATAAACCAGTATTAAAATAAATAAATATTACTTAATTTATAATTCTTTAGTATATTTACAATTTGTTCTACTTTAATTTTATATATTTCTAGATACGATAAAATTTATCACTATTTTTAGTATATAGAAGACACTTTAGAATGTATATATTTTTTTTAAATTCATGTTATGTAATAGCTATGCTTTTGAAAACCAATATAAGTCATGATATAAAAAGACTAATATAGGTAATCAATTTTCTAACAACATAAGGGCCATTTATTTGTTAGTCAGTTTTAACTTTTAAGATAAGTATTATAAAATCTACTAGGTTATGACCAATAATAGTCTATCTAGTTCTTTTCTTAGAACTTACGAAGTCTTAAACGGAATTATAGATCTTTTATTTTGGAATTTGATTCGATATTTTATTCCCAAGATGGAATTTTAGGTAGTGAACCGATTGTACTACCATCAGTACCGTAAAATGGGGTTACTTTGGCACTTCTTTGGCAGTTTGGTCATATATATGTAAAAAAAATTGTCATATTTATTTTTTTTTGCTGTTTTCTCAGTTGTTCTCTTTTGTCACAGGTATAAGGTGACCAACCATGCCTAGAAACTATCAGAAAAAGTGGGGGGCGTGACTACAGAAACTTTATCGAAGCTGAAGCGTTGTCTGCCATTAGAAATGGCACGAGTCAGACAGCGGCCAGTAAACGGGTCAAAATTTCTCGGGGAACCCTTCAAAATAAGTTGAAGGGCATGCATACGCGCCCTCCAGTCATCCGACGGTTTTTACACCTGCAGAAGAGCATTTACTGACAAAGACATTAGTGACGGTGAGCAATTGGGGATTTCCTTTTAACAAAGCCGATATTCGCGAATTAATCCACAAATGCTTAGAAAAGAAAAGGCGTAACGTTTAGGAGTTTAAAGACAATGTTCCCGGACAAGATTTTCTTGAAGACTTCATAATCCGAAATAATCTAAGTGTCAATTTGGCTGCAAACATAAAGCAAACACGTGCAGTGGTAGGGCCGAATCAAATAAGCAAATTTTTTATAACATTAAAGATATTGACTCGTCTTTTGTTTTCAATTACAATGAAACTAATGTCCAAGATGACCCTGGAACCAAAAAGGTCATTGTTCCAAGGGAAACCAAACGCGTGGAGAGAGTTGAACACCATTCCAAGGCCATAATCAGTATAAAGGTGTATGGAAACGCTGTAAGAGATTTATTACCCCTATGGTAGTGTACAAGGCAGGTAATCTATTCGAAGGTTGATCCTCCTGGAACAGTCTATGTTAACACACCTAGCGGCTGGTTCGATATAGTTTTTCCAAATTTTATTGCCCAAAATTAAGGAAATTGAAAATCCTGAGAGAAAAAATTGTTGTTTAGCCTCTCATTTTTCAACCACTGTCATTGAAGCTTGTTAGGAGAACAATATCTACATGACAGCGTTGCCGCCCAACAGCACCCACCTAATGCAACCATTAGATGTGGCAGTATTTGCCCCGTTTAAAAAAAAGTGGCGTCAGATTCTAGACAAATGGCGCAGTGAAACCAAATCAACTTCCTCCATTCCAAAAGTATATTTTCCTGTCCTCTTAAATCGATTGTGGGTTGCAGTCACTGAAAATGTGTCCAATAATTTAAAATCTGGATTTAGGGCTACAAGGCTCTGTCCTTTCAATCCTCAAGAAGTTCTGAAAAGAATTCCAGATATGCAAATACAAGGCAATGACGAAAATGCCCAAACTGACAGCTTAATTGATCTGCTTCAAGATCTGCGCAGTTCAAATAAGGAAAAAGTAGCTCGATCGCGTGGCAAGAAAATAGAGCCCACCCAATTAACAACTTAAGACAATTGCTCCTCAATTAGATGAACTAGTCGCTGACCCTTCAGGATCCTAAAAAACATTCAAGAGATTCGCGTCGACGATAGTGACGACAAACGAAATTACAAATTTAGTTGCAGTTTCTACAAAAAAAGCAATGAGAAAGCAACCAAAAAGGGTTGTTAAAAGTACAGACGGTCTGCGCAGCTTGCTTCAAAAAGTGGAAGAAATATACAGGGCCTAATTAGATATGTGGTAAGAAATGCAAACAATGGAATTGGGGCTTTTGCAATGAAGCGAGCACGGACCCATTTTATAAATGTGCTCTCTGTAGAAACGAAGATTTTGACAGTGATAACTCTTTAAAAGATGCGGATTTTTCTTTGTAAAAGACTTCATGATGTGTTGAATATTTAGTTTTTTATGTTCCTTATTAAACTTTTTAAGAATTTATGTTTATTTTCGTATAGAAATAATTTCTTAGTTAGTTATTTTATAATGGTTGGATAAATTAATGATTTCTTAAAAAGAAATGCATTCTAACTTCAATAACTTCGGAACTATAAAATATATTTGGACCAAACTCAAAGCTGCCTTTTTGTGCCTCCGTCCTTTATCATATTTTGTACAAAAGAAGGTTTTATACAGCCTCTACATTGGCGCAAAAAAGATTTGCATGTGCTGCCAAAGTAGCCCCAAAAAACTGCTTACAAATATTTTTTTCCAACAGGCGGTTCATGAAAACGAACCATATTTAAGTGATCTATTGTCAATTGGGCACAAGATACGATGCAATTTTAAGAAGTTTGATTTTCCTATCAGTTTCTGACTTACGAGTTCCAAAATAGGTCAAAACCTGCCAAAGTAACCCCGCTTTATGGTAATAAATTGATTTCATTAGTATTTATCTAGATATTACACAGGGTGTTCCGCATAACAGATGCGTATTGGGTTCCCCAAAATATGATGTTTTAACGCAATTAATCTCTATACCAAGTTGTACCCTTAAGGAGTTACGGGGACCTAAAGTGGGGCCATACATTTCGAAAAAAAAATTAATATCTCTGCATCAGTTTAACTTAAAAAAATCTATATTTTAAATTATTTAGATGCTTCATGAGGGGCTTCATTTGGGGGCAAGTAAGAAATAATTGAAATATTTTAAGATGTGGTTTTGGGGTAACCTTAATTCTTACTCACCCATTAAATTAAGGCTTTTAAAGCGCTTAGATAATGTACCAAATATAGATTATTTTAAACAGTTGAGATATTAAATTTTTTCTAAGTACAACTTAGTATAAAGGTAAATTACTTTAAATCATCATATTTTGGTGTACTCAACACGCACCTCTTCTGTTCGATACTTATGCGTACCTAAATATACTAATTTAAATTTTGAAAGCAAAAGAATAACCATCAAATTAAAAATAATCAAAATGTATGACCTCATTAAATAAATATAGAAAAAAAACAAACAGTTTAGTGATAGGATATAAAATTCTTAGTCATCTTTACCACAACTCTTCCACATCACCACCTTATCTTTCATTTGGTACAAAATTCAAGGCTTGTACAGAAGAATATATCACATCCAGTATTTGCACACTTTTTAACTATACCAAATCATAAAAAATTATTAAGTAATCATTTTCCTTCTTCCTACGTCTCTACAAATAATATAAACAAAAATAAGAAGTGTATTTGTTAAAAAAGAAAATACCAAATACTTACTGGTTTCTCTGCTCCAAAATTTCAGTCTGTAATTTCTCGGTTCTAGTCCATGTTGTGCCAGTAAATATAAATTTTCTTGATCTGGAGTCTCGCTCGAGTCCCAATGTATTAATAATCTGTAAGTGCCTTGCGAAGTTGTGTCCTCAAAATGTATAGTTGGTTCCACCGAAAAGCGATTACTGACTCTACTGGTATTAAAAGATACGGTCGGGTATAACACTTTGCTAAATGGTACAAGATCGTCGTGGTATGTATTTTCTAAGTAAGCTCTAAAAATATGGAAACCTTTCGAAAACACTAAAAAAAAACAAATTATTTGTATATTTTCAAGAATAACCATATTTAAAAATATAAAAACACGGCTCCATGACAAAACAGCGCAGGACAAAAGGGCGAAGGACAAAAGGGCGCAGGACAAAAGGGCGCAGGACAAAAGGGCGCAGGACAAAATGGCGCAAGTTATGGAAACAATCCAGCCGACTATATAAATATTATTGTTAAGGTTGCACTTTATTGTAAGATTATAAATATAAGTCAGAACTAGAAAAGATCAGATCATTGTTAGCTTTTGCTCAACAAATATTCCTTATACATTTGTTCGTTTTTTAAAAAGCAATTTTTAAAGTACTCTCACTTGATTCGCAGGACAAAATAATGCAGATGAAATAGCACAAGAACAAAGAACACAAGAACAAAGAACACAAGAACAAAATAACGCAAGGACAAAGTAGCGCAAGATAAAATAGGACAAGGACAAAATAGCGCAAAGACAAAATAGCGCATAACCATATAGTGCAAGGATAAAATAGCGCAAGGACAAAATAGTGAAAACAAAATAGCTCAAAGACAAAATAGCCCAAAGACAAAAAAGCGCAAACGAACAAGATATTTTTTTAAATAATGTAATTCATTAACCCTTTAGTGACTTTATTTTAAATCTTTTAAATTTTAAAATACTATTGGGTCGAATATGTCCAAACAATGATTTTGAAATATTGTTGGGTCAATAAGCATCCCAACAGTATTTGACTCTATACAGACGTGAAATCACATACTTTGATTACTATACGGTGCAATAGAGACGTCCGACACGCCCAACATAGAGCGCGGCCATTTTAATGCAATTACTACTAGGTTAAGCAACACATTTTTCCAAAATGTTAAACTGGTAGCCTACATCTTGGTATTCAAGTTAAGTGCTTGAAATTTCTAGGAGACCTGAAAAATAAAAAGCATTTAGAATACAACAGTAGGAACATAATTAAAGTATTAACTGTTACTTACAAATAGAAAGATTTAACATAAAATCACCAAGTAAAGCGCAAGGTTTTCAAAATATTCATTATTTGCTAATGGTTTTTTTAAAGTGTAACTTCGTAAATAATATCTTTGGGGACTGACTGTAGGTAAATATATTAATAATAATAATCATAATACTCTCCCTAATTCACCCCCTTACGAGTGAATGTCAACCCCTGAAGTCGACTGATCGACTTGTATAGAGGAAGGGACGGCTATTATTATTATTTGCCTTGGCACTCCGGGGCGACTTAAAGATGATTGATGGTGCCATTTGACTTACAGGTGAGGAAGACCCGGAAAACCTCACCCACCATCATCGAGACGGTAATGCATGGCGATTTTTTAATCTGCATGTCATCAACAGAAATTGAATTTCTATTAATACGGCACACATCAAATCCTAAACCGAACCATGCAATTTAATTAAAAATCCATATGGTCTGGTCTGGGATTCGAAGCCCAGCAGTCTTAGACTCATAAACTTGCTTATAAATAATTATAAGCGCGTTAAACCGCTACACTACCGACCCGATATTATAACCTAACCACTAAAACTAATGCGCCAAGATGTAGGCAACACGTAATAAGTGTTTAAAGTGGCGGAATTTTCTATCTCCTTTTAAAAGGCACTCAGAAAGTTGCGCAGTGCGACCATTTTCCGTATAGTAAGAGAAAATCGAAGTATGTGTGTGAAATAATCTCAGCTTAATGTTATTATCTCGGGTAGTATAATACTAGTCGCCCGCTAAGAGCAACTTGATCACATACACGTTGTATTTACAATAGTTTACAATAATTGTTAGAAAGTGTGTGTTTTCTCGATAATACTCAATATATCCAGGTAAGTCATTAGGTAAAAATTTTAATTATATTTCTATATTTTATTACCTCTGAAATATAATTAGGTTATGTGTCCCAATAGTCTTTCTTTATGGGATATATAGATTTTAGCCTTCCTGAAAACATATTTTGTTTCAGAAGAAATGGTGAATAATTTGTCAGATCATGAACCATTTGAGGATAGTGGCTCAGATTATAATGTGGCCTTAGGAAACCCTAGCAGCCATAGTGAGAGTGATTTAGAAAAATAAAATTCAAAAACAAAACCCTGACCACCAAAAGAAAAAAAAATCCCAAAGTCCTAACATTGGAACTTCTTTCAGTGCATCAGAAGATTTATCCGATTCCGATGATGAAGACATTATTGCATCTATAAATACTTCTGCTGCTAGTACATGTGTGACAGGAGACGTGCTAGACATGAGATCAGACCACTTAACCAAGAGGTACTCTTTTAATACTCCCTTAGAGGTTTTAATACAAGAAAGAGGGGAGATCACCATAAGGGAGCCCAATGCCCAACGACAGGAACAAACCTGGTATACAGACGGGTCTAAAACTGCGGAAGGCACTGGGGCAGGAGTATTCTCCAAAAACCCTGATACTAACCATAGCTATGCTATAGGAATACATTCCTCGGTATTTCAGGCCGAGGTATACGCAATTTTGCAATGTGCAAAAACGAACAATGCAAAATGTCGAAAATCAGCATATTCAAATAATGTCAGACAGCCAAGCGGCACTTAAAGCCATATCGAGTAAGAAAGTTACGTCGAGGCTGGAATGGGAATGCATCGAAGAACTAAGAACACTGGCAGACCGAAATAGAGTAAAACTATTTTGGGTGCCAGGTCACAAAGGGATCGAAGGCAACGAAAAGGCTGACGAACTTGCAAAAAGAGGGTCAGAAGAAACACCGTAACCAGACACAAACCCAAGAGTACCAAAAAGTACAGTCCGGCGTTTTATAAATGACTGGATTCGGGAACAACATATCAACTATTGGGGAAGCACCCCAAAACAGGCACATGGGAAAGCCTTCATAGGCAGACCATGTCCCAAAAGAACTGGAGAACTACTCTTAATGAATAGGAACCAGTTGAAAGTGATAACAGGGTTCATGACTGGGCACGACCCAGTAAAGGGACACTTGAACAAAATTGGCAAGGACAATGGGGAACTCATGTGCCGACTATGTCACAAGAAACCAGAAACGGCCGAACACATACTGTGCGAATGCGAAGCTCTAGATCGCAAAAGACAGGCTCTTTTTGGACAACCCCAGGTTGATCCAACAACGTACAGAACCCACTCACCCAAGGATCTGTACAAACTTGTACAAGGTACAAAGGTGATAGAGTGGGTGCTATGAACTAACACGGGATAAAACACAATAAGCCAATAGGCTTCAGTGTTATTCGGAGACACATAGTCAGACGAGCCCAGGAGAAAAAAAAAAGCACATGTGTGGTACAGAACAATTTCTACCGAGAATGTGTACACCTGAAAACTGAGACCCAACTACCAACTATTCTAATAGATGTTAACAGAAAATCAAATTTTCCGTGACTGACGTTTTTTTTTTGTGTGTGTCATCGGCTTCAACTACCAGGGTTATTTCGCCTCGTGTTCTGTGTAAGTTTTGATACTGTTTCCCAGCGCCACTTTAGGAACAGCACTGTTAATTAGAACCCAACAGTGACTGGTCGAGTTTCCAAAAAGTCTGCTAAACTATATTGCTCATTGTATCAATGAAAGACTCAATATACTGGCTGAGCAATCTTTACAAAAGCACATGAAATTATGATCGTAATTGGGAGTTTGTTGTGACATACAATAAGTCACTAGCTACTCAAAACTATTAGTCTTATAACAAGAGCATGTAGAAATAAGCTTTTAAACTTGCAATTTCAAGAGACCCCTTGAAGTAACTGCTTGGTAAGTTTTATTTCAATAGTCCAAAGAAACCAGATGACGCAAGTAAGCTTTATTACATAGAAGAGTTAGTCGAATGTCTAAAAGGAACTTTTTTGACAGCAAGGTCAGAAAGTCCCTTCCAGTCCATAGATGAGAGCATGACAAATTTCAAAGGAAGATCCAGTCTGAAACAGTATCTCTCCTTACGGGTAATCAAAATTTGGGAACGCTGTGACTCTCAAAGTGGTTATGTCGATGACTTTGATATGTATTGTGGGAAAGAAGAATTGCCGAGTAAAGAAACCTTAGACCAAAGAGTTGTAAAAAAACTGTCAAGTGCAGTAAGACAAAAAGAAGTTTCATTCTGCTTTGATCGCTTTTTTACATCAGTTTCTTTGATTAACACTCTTTGTACTTAGTTACTGTCATCAGGATTTGCAGACTGAAGTAAAACGTACTGTCGAAGATATCAATAAAAAAATATCCCAAGCCCCGAAGCTTTAAAATTCTATAAGGTGTACGGGACGGGTTGATTTATCAGACCAATTGGCTGGACTCTAGGATATTGATCGTAAATTTACAAAATGGTGGAAAAAGTGTATTATAAACTTTTACTTACTGCTGACGTGAATTACTGGATCATCTATAAAGAAACACGACAATGTGCTGGCATTCCTTTCATGACATATTTGGTAGAACTGGCAGATACTTTGATAAACTTAGGAGATGCCAGACTGCCAAAGTTGTTAGGAAAGATTATACGGACGAACCTCCAACTCCTCGCAGACGCTTTTAAATGTAGAAGATCAACCAGGAAGAGACATCATTAATGTATAGAACAAAAAGACGAAAAACGTATTACAATGCTTTGTTGCGCATGTGCACTCCCTCTCTGCCCAATTTGTTTCGCTCCGTACCACACATAATTTTTTGTTTCATTTTCCTATGAATTAGAATTTTTTATATTTTTTAAGTACGTTTATGTTAAGTTTTAATTGGTATCTTGGTATCTTGAAAACGTCATAAACTTTTGATAGTATGAAGGTTTACAACTATGTACACTACGTGTCATGACTGACAGGTGCTTTTGGAAAAAACCTTTAAAATAAAAGAATCAATCTAACATTCTCAATGGAATTGATTTCGAGTTAGACGAACTAGATATTATAATAGAATATTTACTATAAAGATCCTGAAGTCCAAAGTAGGGGTAAGTGGAGAATATTTTTGGTTGTTTAGGAATAAATATGTAATATTATTTTTTTTTAACCAGAAGTGTCGCTTATTGAACTGGCTTCTGGATACATGATATCTAAAATATATCAAGGCCTACTTGCTAGACAGCATCGAAAGAGCAAATAGTCACTTGTAATTTGACAGAAAATATGACAAAAAAAGAAAAAATATATTGAATAAAAGGAATTTATGAAATATTATATAATATACGTACACTGCAGTGCACAGGGTGATTCTTTTATCATGGGAAATGAGTTTTTCTCGTAAACGGCTGCAGCAAATTGAGTTCTGTAAAAATTATTTTATTTACACGGATTAATGCTTGAAACTAGGATTGATATGGAGGTTATAATTAAGCGACGCTGGGCGTCGTGACGCTTCACAAATTTTTTTGTTAGAAGCATACCATTTTTATTTCAGAAATTGAAAGATCTCTTCAATACAAACACTTTTTTCAAATACCACTTTTTTTATCTAAAACCATTCAAAAATTACAGACTAGTTTTAATGTTTTAAATTTGTCGATTGTCATACAAAGAATGCATGGTTTTTTAAATTTCACTAAATCTGGTAGTTTTTGATACTTACTATTTTAATAGAATTAATTAAAATTACTCTGACAGTTTCAGACATCAATCAATATAAGCCAAGTTTGTTTTTTCAAAGCCTACCTGATTTAGTGAATTTTAAAAACCCATGCATTCTTTGTATGGCAATCGAAAAATTTAAAACATAAAAACTGATCTGTAACTTTTGAATGGTTTTAGATGAAAAAAAATGGTATTTGAAAAAAGTGTTTCTATTGAATACATCTTTCTATTTCTAAAATAAAAATGGTACTGCTGAAAAAAAATGAAGCGTCGCGACGCCCAGCGTCGCTTAATTATAACTTCCATATCCATTCTACTTTCAAGCATCAATCGGCCTAAATAAAATAATTTTCACAGAACTTAATTTGCTGAAGCCGTTTACGAGAAAAACTCATTTCCCATGATGACGTAACTAAAAAAATGTTAATTTTGACAGATATCCACAAAAGCTGAAACATTTTAAAAAACTATTTCTAACATTCGTCAACACTTGAAAAATATATGTATTGGTTTTTAAAAATTATGCTTGAACGGGTTAACCTATGCGGCCTGGATCCAACGTGAATAGCACAAGTTAGGTAAATTAATTATGATTTTTTTTCTAACTTTAGGTATATTTTTTTCAAAACAACCCTTGATGGCTCTACGCCACCCAGGATAAGTAAATAAGTTTTTTTTTTTTAATTTGAATTAGAATTAATTAATTAGAATGGAATATTTTTTCACGCTCTTTTTAGTCCGGCGCTATTTTGTCCTGCGCTACTTTATCCATGCTCTATTTGGTCCTAAGCTATTTTGTCCCTGCGCTATTTTGTCTTGTGTTATTTTGTCTGCGCTATTTTGTTCATGCGCTATTTTATTTATGCGCTATTTTGTCTTGTGCTGTTTTAACCTGGCGCTGTTTTGTCTTGCACTATTTATTCTGCGCTATTTTGTCTTGCACTGTTTTGTCATCGAACCGTAGTTTTTGACAGTATCTAATGTATCGTTGCAAGTTATACGACCTTTAATATAAATCATATTTTTAACAAAGAGGTTGGATTAGCTGTAGAATATTCTGAGGGCAGAAAAGTTTCAGTTAACGAGAAGCAGGTTACTGATATCGAAGTTTCCGATGTGATAGAGATTAATTAAGCGGGAGCAGGTCCAAGTAACGAAGATATGCAGTTTCGAACTCATTGTCGTTGTTATTTTCTTACGAAGCCACGCATTTGCGAAGAAGCCATAAGTTGTAAAAACAAAGATCTCTGGTACGCAGCCATGGAGAAGATACAGTCTTTAAAGAAAAATGAAGCATGGAAACTTTTGTATAACTTAAAACTAATCGCAAATTAATAACTTGTAAATGAGTGTTTAAACTTAAATGTAAAACACATGGTTAAATAGATAGCTCCATTTTACATTGGGATTAAGTATGATTAATTCGTAATGTAGATAAAAACAACAATCGTAACGTGCATAATTTAAATGATGCCAATTTCAAATTGACCTATAGGTCTCTCTCAAATCAAGAACTATTGTGTTTAACTCAACAATGGTTAATATAAAATCTACATCAAAACTGAACATTGCTGCTTTATATATAATATAATAAATTCCTAATTTTTGGGTGGATTTAGCACAGTGAGTCATTATATCTTCATTTAAAGCTTTTATGAAAGAATAATTATCTTCAGGAATAAAAATATCAGCAAGAAAAGGACGGCTATTAATAAACACATTGCCAAAATTCTTGGATCCCTCTCGTAAATGTTAAAATGAAATATTTATCAGCGGATAGACTAGGGATTCCCCGCGCTTCAGTTATACGAATAGTGCGTTTGTACCAGGAAACTAACAGCGTTGACTGGAGGTGTGGGACTGGGCCGTCCTAGGGCAACAAATGCAAAAGAAAAGCATTATGTAGCAGGCAGTATTGCCAGAATATATTTTTATAATGTACCAGATTTTTTTTAAATTGTACCAGATTATATAAAAATGTACCAGATTCAATAAAATGTACCAGATTTTTCTAATTATGAAGTATGGTTAATAAAGACCAAAAAAAGGTTTATAGAGAACACGAACACAACAAACAAGCATGACTCCAACAATATATTTTACATGTCAAATGGAAACATACGCTAAAAAAATAAAAAGTACTGGATTTTGCTTCGGATGTACTAGAGTACCAGATTCTTAGAGAATGTACTAGATCTAATACAATTGTACTAGACTAGCAACACTGGTAGCAGGTTATGTAGGTCGGAATCGAACCATAACAGTTTCAGCTGTCCGAACTGATTTTAGAAGAACGTATGTTCGATTCGTTTCCAGTACCATAATACAGCGGAGACTTACTGGAGCCAATTTGCGATCTAGGTTACTTCCCAGACATAGCCGCTAATCTACAGTGGGCATAGGAACACGGAGACTGGCTTTTAGCTCTGTGGCGAAATGTCCTCTTTCGGACGAAACCAGATTTGGTTTAATTAGTGATAGTCGACGATATAAAGTTTGGAAAGGCCATGGCGATCAGAAATACTATCTTTTACCAGAGAAGTAGTTCTATACCAAGGAGGAACAGTAATGTTTTGGAGAATAATATTGCATGGTCGTCGTACGCAGCTTATTTACATTCCAGACACTATGACAGGAGATAAATATGTTCGAAACATAATTGAACACATTATTTATCCTCTCCGAAATGAAATTGGAGCCAAGTTTATTTTCATGGATAACAATGCTAGGCCCCATCGCAAGAGAAGAGTACAAATTGCATTAGAGATTCAGAATATTTGTTACACGTAGGACGAAAGAGTCAAACCCTAGGGTTTGACTATTTCTTCCTATGATTCCTCCGGGCGAAGGCACCATGAGGTGAAATGGCGTGTCGTAAATTACAAGTTTTAAATATCCCCCAACTTGGGTAATCGTGAATATACTAGCAACAAATCTTCACAAATACTTCTACTCACGATTGTGTTTTTGATGAAAACCAGACAAATCCGGGATGCCCCGATGATAATAGATTAATTTTACTTTTACTAACTGTCGGCCTCCTCGTAACTACCACGTTTTCAACCTTCCTTATCGAAAAACCACGCCAGAAGGGCTCAGACAGAAAACTTTTTTGCTTCCCCACCAGAATGTGTGAAGTTGCAACTCTTCACCTATTATATTCAAAGGCCTTGTATACCCAAGGGTATCGAGACATTCTAATTAAAAAGATTGCAACAGCCAAAAAAGCCAAACATTATTTCCCTTGCCCCAGACTATTATGTTTACAGAAAACTAAAATAATAGGGAGTTTTAGCAAACAGCCGCTAACCATCCGCTAACGTTACCTTAGGGATAGACTGTAATCTACTCTGTTCAATGTTTATGAAAAAGATCACAATCTAAGTTTAACGTAACGTTAGCGGAAATCTTACGTACATTTGCTAAAACTCTCTATTATCCAATAACTTCCCAAAATTCCCTTTAAACATCAGAATAATAATATAATAATACAAAAATATTAACTGAACCCTAACTAAGTATAGGCCACTCGAAAAATTATCTGAAGGATAATTAAGTAAAAGGCCATACAGGATACGCTGTTTTCCGTATCGAAGCTAAAGTAGACCATACACTAAATGTATCGAAGCTAAAGCAGACCATACACTATATGTAAGGGCCTGATTATTTTCCTACAAAATAAAAATAATATAGTTGTAAAATTAAAACTGGAGTGTAACATATTTAAAGATTACCGTGGCCAGCGAATTCGCCAGACATGAATCGCATTGAGCACATGTGGGATTTCGTTGGAAGAGCAATTTTAAACATAATTAATCCTCCTATCACCCTCCAGGAACTCAGTCGCGGTCCAAAATGGAACAACATCCCAATGGATACCATTAACGCCGTACAAGTCACCAGGCGAGCCGTAGTCGCTCGAAAAACTTAAATTTTCGTTCTTATAACAAAATTAATAAAAAATATTTAAAAACGTAGAAATATGACGTAAATTAAATTTACCTAAATGTGTATTCCAAAATTCAATTTCATCTGGCTTGGCGTATATCTTTATCATATTTCGTAAGCCTTCTAAAAGATATTTGTTTTGAAAGGGAATATCGGCGTAAAGTATTCGAGGACAAAGTAGATTTTTGGCATGAGGTTTACATTTGCAACGAGCACTCGGATCAAAATTTGTGTGTATTTTAACTGGTAAAGTTTCGTGTATGTCTTGCGTTAATTCAGCTCGTATCATAATTTTCATGGAAAAGATTCCCACTTCTTTATTTAAAAAGTAAATATAGTAAATCCAGTCACCTAAAGCTACGAAGCACATTTTTATTGTTAACTTGTGCATTCCTTCGTCATTGAATGCGCATACACCATCTAGTTCCAACTGTCTGGGTAAACCGGGCAGAGCATTCACAGAAACAAAATCGTTCATTGTTAATGGAGGTTTTCCTTCTTGAAATAAATAAAAGTATGTATTCGCGTGATACGATTGGGCGTAAGGCGATATCACATTTATCGTTTTTGAGACAGTCTCGTAGAGCTCTACTTTAACTTTGAATTCCTGTGTATAATATAAAATATCCGGTATACCAATGAGGTTTATAGCCATTCCTTTCGAAAATTTTTCACCGCCAGATTCTCCAGAAAATACCAAGACTGCTTGCTCTTTGATAATTTGTTTTGCTGTATAAGAAACAAGTACGGCTTTTTCGCCTTTTGTTGGTATCAATATATGATTAGAATCAATATGGAAGCTCTCAGTATCGTTCAAAAATAATTTAGGGTAGTAACTGATAGCTACAGGTCCGGAATTTTTTAGAATCACTTTAGCGGAAGACGTCTTGCCTAAATGGGATTTTATAGTGGTTGTCTCTAACGGATAATAATTTGGAATTACAACGTATAAGTATGACAACAAAAACAGCATCTCTGTATTTGTAGGTTCAAAAATGCTGTTTGTTGATATCTTGAAGGACAAATCGAGTCTGTTCCAAGCTTCAGAAATTAAACAAGCGTTGTGATGTAACGGACAATGACCGGTTATATCAGATTCTTCAAAATAAATGTCCCTAAATATATTGCATAAATAGGGACAATAAGCAGCCATAAGAGTAGCTATTGGTAAGCTATCTCTAACATCTTTGCTTAGATCTCGAATTTTTCTATCGGGTAAATCTTTGTCGGGCCACAGTTTACCCTTTTGTTCTTTGTAATGAAACTCGACCCAAAGCATTAATTTCGCTTCGCATTCGTTTGTATCCGAAGGAAATGATTCGATTTGGCTAGAATAGTAAGCTCCAAACTCTCCTGAATAAATATCATCCACTTCCAATTTACCGGTCAGAGGAGGCTCGTTTTTCAGTAAGCGATCATAGTGAAATAACTTAAACATCTTTAACAACAAATCCAACCAACATTGCCTGCTAAGAAAATTGAAATCTGCTTCGCTTAGGATTTCATCACCGGACATATTTTCTTCATCTACAAGCATGGTTTTGAAAACGATGTATCTGTCATAATTTAGCAGCAACTCAGGATTGAGGTTTTTCACAAACACGTGGTAGCTTTCCAAATATCTTAAGACGTTCTTGTATATTCCGTAATCATATGAAGTACCTTGTCTCTCGTCTAACGAAGCAGCGTTCACCCTAAAAGATATGAATATTAAGTTGTTGCTGTTGTCATTAATAAAAATTTATTTTTTAAATTATCGATTGGAAAGAAAATAGAAATAACTCAAGAAATGGAAACCGATGAAGTAAAGATAATAGTATTAAACAAAAAACAAACAGAGCAAATACAATCAACAAATGAATACCGATTTTACTATTCTAAGGAAAGAGCAAAGAAAGAAGTGGGATTAATTTAATAAGGAAGGAAATAAACAAAAATGTAATAGACTATGAAGAAATAAACTTAAGAATAATAGAAATTGGGATACAACTAAAAGAAATAATCACATAATAGATCAGTAATAGTACAAAGTTTCTCAAAAATAATAACAACAGACGAAATACAGAACAGAAACCAAAATATCAGACTTACAAGGGCAATTCAAGATGGAACTAGTAAAATTATTTCTGGTGTAAAGTTTGTACCAAACTTATCAGTAAATTTATTGTGTGTTAACGCTCTCATGTCCAGAGGATACTGTGTAACCTTCTGATGGATATAAAATATTTCATCAAGAAGATTGCCTTATTAAAGGAAAACCATTTGCTATTGCCTCAAATACGAATGGAATGTTCAAGCTTGACACGCTGGATGACATGGTAAATATTGTTAAAACAACTAATTCGCAAATACTATGGCACAAAAGACTAGGTCATCTTAACTACTACAGCATGAGTCTTTCAAAAAATGGACTTGCAATTGATATAAATTATAAGGATTCAGAAACTCTCGCTTATTGTGAAAGTTGTATCAAAGGTAAACATGCCAGAAAGCCTTTTCCATATAACAAAATCAAGGGTGTAGCTAAGAATAAACTGGATTTGATACATTCTGACCTCATTGGACCCATTGAGGTAGAATCCAGGGGCGGTGCAAGATTATGTTTACTCTTATAGATGATCACTCAAGAAATTTTTTTTGTTATTTTTTAAAAACGAAAAGCCAAGTAGCAAATATTTTTGTGGAAACTCAGACTGAAAGGAAAATAAAGGTTTTGAGGACAGATAATGGAGGCGAGTATTGCAGCAAACAATTGGATAGATTTTTAAAAGAACGTGGTATAAAACGCGAACTTACAGTACCTTATTGTCCACAACAAAATGGTGTGGCAAAATGATATAATCGTACTATTATAATAATTGGCATTTTTATTATTTGAAAAATATAAAGAATTTACCAACAATCCTAAATAAGAGAAGTATAAAAATAAAACAAACAATCAGGTTATTAATCTAGTTAATGGCTACATTGAGCGTGACATTTTAAAAATACAATCATCACGTAAATTTTGCTTTATATAGAGAGGAGACAAAAAGAACTCTTGAGTAAACTCTCAATCGAGTTCGGACTAAGGTCCAGACCTTTCGCCTAGGGCGGAAGCTCTCTCGTTTTTTTTTTTGGGACCCTTTAAGTCCCAAAACAATGTGATGTGTAGGTAAAGTTTTGTGTAAAAAATAGTATTCAAGCCGCTTTGCCAGGAAGCAACGCTGCTTTGCCAGGGAGCAACGCCGCTTTGCAAGGCAGCAACGCCGATTTTTATAGGAGAACGTCGCTCTGCCAGGGTGCAACGCCAAGTCATTAAGAGAACGACGCTCTACCAGGGAGCAATACCGATTGTTAGAAGCCAGACCATTGTGCCGAGAAGCAACGCCGCTCTACCAGAGAGCTATGCCGCTATGCCAGACGCCACGACGCGCCACCAGACGAGAAAAGTGCGATGGAACCAGAAAAGTTTCACAGAATGGAGATGAAGAATTTAAAGCGAAATCGAAAGAAGAGTAAGAAGAAAATAAAATGAATATCAACAGGTGGTAAAAATATATATTAAATAAATAGGGAAAGTATTATTCATATATTTAAAAGTTTAAATTCAATAGTTAGATTAGGAATAGTAAAGATTAAAATATAGGAAACTTCAGAATAAGTAATATAGAATTAATGACATAGGAATTATTTTAAAAGGGTATTTTATTGTATTTTATTAGGTGTAGACAATTATGTAACCTACGCTTATGTGCAGTTAACAAAAGTATGTTTTATTCTTAGAGATACACGTTGTTTATTTTTAATGGCCCGGAAATAAATAATAGTATTGTTTCTGTAATAAAACATACCAGCTTTTATTATTAAGTCGTTTCGAAAACAAAAATGGTGACAAGTACTAATTTATAAGATCTTAGTGAATTATTAAAATGCATGATTCCACAAGAATTTTGGAAATTTGATGACATAAAATAAAAAGTGCATAAAATAAAAAGTGCATAAATTGGTTATTCTCGGATTAAACAATCCACATAATTATTGAGAGAAAGAGATTTAAAAATAAAGGATATTTGTCATATATATTTATGTATTGTCTGTCTTAAATAAAATTGATTTACATTGAACTCGTTCTACTGCATTTTCAACAAATCAAAGGCCCCATGGTTAATTAAATTAACTACGATTTGTAATTTTAATGAGAGAAAATGTATTACTTATTAAAACACAACTTCGATAGTTTTAATTATTTAACGTCAAAGTCAGAGTCTGCTTAAATAGAAACAATGGGCAACTTATAAAAAATTTTCTGACAAATAAATCATGGCCTCCTTAGAAAAAAATGAGACCTAACTTTACGAAGTGTGATATTTCAATGATACTCAAATATTTTAGGCACTTGTGAGACATCACAAAACTGGAAATTTGTCAGTCTTTCCAAAAATCGAAAAATCCAATATGGCTGCTAATAGAAAAATTAAAGTTAAGGCTGATTGCGGGATAACAAAAGACGATTGAAACATGTCATAAACGCTATCTTATTCGTCTTAAAAAAATGTCCAAATAATGTCACATTTTGACAGCTGTCAAATTATTCGTTTCGGATTTACAGACTAGAATCAAAATCCGCCATTTTCGCCGATATTTCCATAACCAACTAACCAAGATCCTTGTATAGAGAAGCGAATCTGGGACACACTGTATTTTGAATTTTGATTGTATTTATGAATTTTTTACCACTTAAGGAGTTTTGCCATTTATTTTTAGCGTTTTTGCATAAAAATGATTTAATATCAGTTAACGTTTTTTCGTTCCATTAACCAAAATTGTGCCATTTTTAGAACATGTCAAAATATTGTCAGTTTTCCACTAAAATATTTAATTATTTTTTACATTACACATTACATATAATTAAATTAACAAAAACAAAAATTTTATGCAGTAAGGATAAATCAACAGAGAAATAAAATTAAAAAAATCTACTCACCCATCTATGATATGATGTACAACATTAGCGCTAGTCAAATTTTTGAATAAAGTAACAATAGGCAGATGAACAATTTTTTCTTTGCGAACTTTATGAGCTTTCGATTCTGTCTTAACAGTGTACATGGTGTATGGGTATCTCGAAATCGTAGCTGGAATTCTAAAATAGTAGGTCAAAAAAAATCCTTCACTAAATATGTAATTTTCTAATATTTCATTTAATTTATCGAGTTTCCTCAGATAAACCTCTGCATCCTGGCAGTCAGAAGACCTACTATCTTTCCAGCATTTCATTTTATGTCTGTACGACAACAGGGAACAGTTGTCGCATGCTGCTGTCACGTATATTGTACAAGTAGCGTTGCAAGTACATGTTATGAGTAATTCTGATACCACGTTACATTCGCGCATTGGATGAAAAGTCACTATCACTTCCATCGTTTCCTTTTCTTTCAATTCCTTTAGTTCTGCTCTTATGAATTCGTGGTTATTTTCTAAACTAACTACACAATCGTTTTTATGATATATTAAACTTATATTAGCACTTTTTGTAAACATTTTATTGACGGGGATCGTTTGTATCATTATCATTCTGTTCTTAGCTTCTATAGTTGGCTTGTATTTGCAACCATACAATCTTATATAATTAAAAGGGCAGTTTTCAAAATAGCGTTTTACGTAAAATGGTACGTCGCTCTCATAGTTTCCGTAATCTTCTGCATTAAATATAAAACCCAGAATAACTTTTTCTTGGGGTTCAAGGGAAACCTTTATCAACTTCTCGAGTATTGTATATTTTCCATTGTTAGAAAGAACACTTACTTCGAAGCAGCTCTCCAAACCTTCTGTTATAAATTTAATTTGGTGAGCTATAGCTGATATATTTGTAACTTGGAATTTGTTTTCCGGTTTTTTATCAGTGAATTTCAAATCAAACTCAGAAAATTTAAACCATGGCGCCCCCGCGGCGCAAGTTATCCGTAAAGTTGGCATTTGTCTGGAAATCTCTGTACTTGGAGGTTCTAAGTAGGTACCAATTTTGAAACTATTAGGATTATTCAAAAGTGGAGGACCAAGAAAATTGTTTATTATATACGGTAAATAGAAGGTATACGCTGTAGGTTCCTTAGGTTGGAATTCCAAATATAACTCTACGTAATCCTTGGGTGCTAAAGTTATTTCCGTTTCTATTTTTTTACGGTTTATATCTGTTACAGAAAGATCTGGATAGTTCTCCAAAAGAAATTTTACTGTTGTTGTTGACCAGCAATTGTTGTTTATTCTAAAGATCCGCCGTTGGTATGCGCTTGTTATAATTTTGGGTATGTGCATAAATTCTGGTTCCAAAATAAGGTTGGGATAAGACACATTGCCGTATACGTTGATAGTATGTTCACGACCATCTAACAAAACAAACTCGAAGGTGCAGCTAAAGGTTTTGATAGTTTTAAAGTGAACTGTTATTTTGAAGAAAATATCGCATTTGCCTTCTACGAAGCCTTCAACTGGAGAAATGTTTATTTGTTTTATGGGATCAGGATTTTTTACATACAACACTATAGCCTGTTCTGATTCATTTCTAATTACCAATTGTCTACTAACGGTAATATTTAGGGGGATATTTTTAATTTCGATTGCTTGGGCACTAAACTTTACAGCCGTTTTAACTTGTTCGTTTGAGACTTTAACAATCTGCTTGGCGCCACTTTGTGAAAGTAAATATATTTCTGTTCTGAAAACTGATTCTATTTTTGGAGTAAAAACGATTTTGCAATAAAGAGATTTTCTTGACTCAATTTTTCCACTTTTTGGCATTATATCATAATTCTTTTCTTGCACCTCCCAGGCGAAATCTATTGCACAGTTCACGGGGTTGAACAATTCCAAGTAACCTACATTATCTTTAGCATTTATCATAACTTCTTTCAATTTACATTTGACTGTAGTTGGTACCACTTCTGCGAACACAGTCGCGTCAAATATATGATAGTCATTTATAATTATATAGACTGGAACGTAATATTTTCCAAGACCATACGAATAGCATTCGAAGTATAATTTTGCAGATTTATTTCCTTCAATTTTTAATCTTTTTTTCCCTTTAACTATAACGCAATTGCTTAGAGCAATTATTGCTATCGTAATTGGGAATATGTTGTTATTCTTTATTTCAAAAAAGTCGTTGCAAACGATATCTGGAGCTATCTAAAAAAAAAATATATATAATATATTATGAGTCCTTGAGTTTGAAAGTTTAAATATGGTAAACAAAGGAGATATTTAGACAATGGGTGATTTGGAGGAAAAACCTCGTGGTAAGGTAATAGGGTTGCCACCTTTTTTGAAAAGTGAATAAAGGACTATGATGTTAACCTTTCGGAGGTCGCGCGCGGACACAGAGGGAAAGCCCACTCATGCGACAGGTCGCGCGCGACTGATCGCGAGGCATCGCGCGTGGCAACACTTTAGATGTTTTTAAATGACCCAAAGCCCATTAACGCGGTTCTGTCGCGTAGTTGCACGCGGCTGAAAATTTAAAATGACAATCATGCGATTTTATTCAAAGTTCAAATTTTACCACTGGCATTTTTTTTTCAATCCTTAAAAAGTATTTCTAAAGGCCCTGAGAAAGAATAAGGTTCTTTGGTACTGTCTTAGTAGTAGTTCATTGGTATGGAGCATACAAATAACTCCAATGAACCGGTTTGTCAATATTTTTCGAATGATACCGCCTTTCCATCCAGTATTAACATTTGTTACATCATAACCAAGGATAACCAAATTTTCAAGAGATGTATTCTGTTTCTGTAAGCACGATTGTAACCCTTTGGTTATTTCTTCAGCATTTCCATTCTTTTGGAGTGTAAGTACGATTTAGATGGTCTTTATCGATATACGGGTGATAGGTAAACAGGACCGGACTTGCAAACATTTTTATTAAATTTCAGAGACCCTGTGGCCTGGCTAAAAATAAATTTAAAACGATAAAATTTGGCGTGTGTACTTAAAAGTACTTGGTTAATCGATTTTTTTACTACCGGAAATCAAAATTTAAAGAAAAAAAATCAATTTTTGGGGGTCCCTGGGGCCCGGCTAAAGATTAAAATTTTTTGGGCATAGATAAATAACAGGTACACAACTTTTTAGAACTGCGTTATCTTAATTTTCGAAAAATGAATTTTTCGGCCCACCCTAATCCTCAGCCTCAGAGGTCCACGAGTCCTCAGAGAAACTAACAATTATTTTATTTAACACTGTTATTAAAACACCTCCACCACACAATTTGTTTGAAAAGCTTGATTCCCTATCGTGATATGATGTAGAAATTTCTTCATTAGATATTGATGATGAAAGTTTCCGTTAAACAAATTATATTACTTTCGGAATTTAATAGATTTTAATTCAGCACAGAGACCTCTAACATTTTGGTAAAAAATTGAAATTAATAATTCGTTGTCTTTATCCATAGCGAGAAGCAGAAAAAATGTTAATTCTGTCAAGAGTTTTATTAGCACCTATTAAACTAACTTACGAATGTCCTTTGTAGATTATTAATTTTTCATGTTCAATATTCAAATTTCTTTCAAATTTTGCTTCTTGATTCATCAAATGTCTCTTTTATAAAACATATATTTCGTAAAATATGCAAAGTGCAAAGTGAAAAGTTGCAAAGTAATTTTATGAAATAGGCCCCAGGACGGAACCCTGCAATACTCCAGCTAAAGGAGTGAATGGGTCTGTAATGGTTTTATCAACGAAGTTCAAATAGATAAGTTTGGAGATGTTTTAACTAGCCCTGCATGCTAAACTTGGTCAACAGCTTTTAAAACATTATTAAGAACGGCTGAAGAGAATTGGGGGAAGTTAACTGCTGTGACAGTAGTTGTATAGATAGAGGAGATTACATTTTGGGTGAACGGATAAGGTCATGTTAGGATTGGGGAATGGTGTTTCTTTCTTAAGAAAGCTAAGAGTTAGTAAATTTGGTATCCTTGCTTGGCTTGGAATAAGGATGATATTAGAGAATTTCCAGGCAAGTGGAAAGAAGAAAAAGAAGAATTAGAAGTTCAGGAGGAATGTAAGGATTGAAACATGGTGTTAGAAAGATGTTTTAACGTTCTGCTATAGAAACAGGACCAGGGGCCTTTTTTTATAATTGACAGGCATATTGTAAAAGAGTTTTTGATATCCAATAGGAAAAGCAATGTGAATACAATAAGATTATATCTAAGTTTGCACAGTAGTCTAGTTCAAACCTTAAATTGTTTAATGGGTTTAATATACTAGTATAGTTTGTACCTTTCCCAGAATGACATATCGCGGCGTTATCTCTATATCCATTAATTCTCCTGGAGTTAATGGTACCAATTTGGGCCACTGATCAGTTTTGGAAAACACCGATAGACAAGATGGGAATTTTTCATTCGTTAACAGTACTTTTGATTCACTAGTGGGATAACAAGAATTTCGAATTTTTGTTTCGTTCTGTTCTCTATGTTTTAAGACTCCATTTTCCATGTAATCTATATACTTTTGAGTGTTTCTTCTTTTAAACTCCCATTCGGGAAGTGTATATGTCATAGTATAGTCAAATGGACCATTGTATCTTGGTAGCTTAGTAAAAATTGTAGTACATCTGTAATAAAATAAGTAGTTGTGTTGTGACAATTAATTTTTAACGACTTGTAACAACCTAAAAATTTTTACAGGTTATGTTATTGCATAATATGTTATTGGTTTTCTCATTTACTAGGGAAAGTAATCGTTTAAAATTCCTTATTTTATTTTATTTATACCTTGACTCACTCAAAAAAAGTTACATTAAAACATAGAAAACAAATTATTGCTAGTGAGCGACACTCTTCTGTGCAAACATCGCCGGGATACGAAAGCAGTGTTGCCTGATGGAAATTTCGGTCAACAGTTTTTTAGCCAGCAGTCATAAAGCGGTCAGAAAGCCATCTTCATATAGTACAAATAACTAAGTGAAGGCATGTTTTTTTAGTTTGTTGTAATATAGGAAATAAAATTTTTGCAACAACACTTTTTGTGTGTTACTGAACGAGATATTATTAAATTATTCAATGTGCTTTACATTTTTAATACAATTTTGCTATTGTAAAACGGACTTTAGAGCACCCAAGCGCGGAGTTGCATGCGCAGAAACGTGTTTACATATTGTGAATATGATATAAACCCCCGTGGAAGACTGAGTTCAACTTAGAGCTACACGATTCGCCGTGCATAAACGATTATAAACTGGTCTTAACTGGACTGAACAAGTTTGAAGAGTTACGTCACAATCCAGAAGAGACTACAACCGTAAAGAGAACAAATTGGGAGTTCGCGAAGAAGTCAACTGTCCAAAAGCTACTGCTGATTACAATTTTTACATGGGTGGGGTCGATAAATTTGACCAATACCACTCCACATATTCGATTTCTTAGGAAATCAAAAAAATGGTCGATCAAACCCACACATATTGTTATTTTTTGAAAACCTGGCAAAAAATAGTTTTGCGCGTTAAAGGGTGGAAGGTAGGGCTCTGAAGACATTTTTTTGAATTGAAATTTAAGAAAATAGCTTAATACATGTAGAGGCAACTTTTCTTAGGTAAAAAATAGTATGGTAAAAAATTATATTATTATTTGTCGCTTCACCCTAATGTACACATTCTCTGAGTTTATAAGCTTTGACTGTAAACTTTGGGTGTTGGATCACAAGCGTCATCAATATGAAATTTTATAAAACATACACTTTTTATGTGGCATCATTGTCTATTATCCGTAAAATGCTGGATAGAGATATTTATTGTTTATATTTTAATCAATAAAGTGTTTTGTTGTGATCACCAATAATTACACAATCAATACATTGAAAATAGATAGCTATACAAAGAACAGTCTGGAATAAATATAAAAAATAATATTTTCAAATTTGTAATTTCATTGCTGCAAAAGTTTTGAGATTGTTTCTTTTATGTGTCGCATAATATTGTACCTACATATTTATTATACAAACAATTATTTTTTAAATATACTGGCGAACAAAAAATTGAGGTCATCTTAAAATTTTCATGTTCTCTGAAATTTTACGTTTTCAGATCGTATTCGTAAACTGTACATCATTGCATGTGCTTTTGTAAGCTGAATGTGATACTCTATACTAAACAGAAATGCATTTTTTTCTTGGATTTTATGATTTATTCTAAAAAAGCAACAAATTAACATTTGGGGCGAAATTCAACATTTTGTTGTTAGGAAAAATATGGAACGAACAAAATGAAAAACTTGACACTAATAACGTGTATTCCCTCCTTTTGCATTGATGACTGCTTGAATTCGGCGCGGCATACTTTGATTTAAGTTGCGGACCACATTCTGGTCGATGTTATCCCATTCCTGCAACAGCAATCTTCTCAGCTCCTGGGCAGTTCTTGGTGCTGGTAGTGTCTGCGAATCCGTCGTCCCAACTCATCCCAGACATGTTCTATGGGATTCATCATATCGGGGCTGTGGGCTGGCCAGTCAAACCGACTAATTTCTACCTCATCCAGATACTCCCTGACAATTCTGGCTGTATGTGGTCTCGCATTATCTTACATAAAAAGGCACCGTTCCCCCATAGTCACCACGAAAGGCATAACGTGGTCTTCCAGCACCTTCGTAATGTACCTGTGAGAGGTTAGGGAGCCATTTTCTATGCAGACCAACTTTGTACGAACTTGTGCAGTGATTCCCACCCAAACCATAACTGACCCACTGCCAAATGGAAGACGCTCGTCAATGCAAACTTCAACATATCTTTCCCCAGGACTTTTCCGCACTCGTTGACGTCCATCTGACCCAGTGAGGTAAAAACGCGACTCATTTAAGAACAATACCCAGCTCCAGTCATCATCATTCCAACGAACGTGATCTCTGGCAAATGTCAATCTAGCAGTCCGATGCTGGCGTTGCAACAGGGGACCTGTAGCCATTCTTCTGCATGACAGTCCAGCAGCATGAAGTCTTCTTCTAACGATCCATTCACTAACGTTGACATTTCTTACTTCTTCCAACTGATTTGGCAGTGAAACCGCAGTAGCTGTCCTATTCCGCAAACTTGTGGACACCAAAAAACGGTCATCTCGTTAAGCGGTAACTCTTTTTCGCCCAGACCCTGGTCTTCTAGTGATCAGGCCAGTCTCCAGAAAGCGCTGGTACACCCTTTGCACACCACAAAGACTAGCACCAACAATTCTTGCAGTTTCACGTTGCCCCCGACCATCTTGTAACAGCGCAACAATTCTTGACACAAAAATCGGATCTAAAGGCATTATGGGCCTGTTAAATCACTACACTTTGCAATCGTTAGGTTTTACACAAAGAAACAACAGTAAACTGGAAAACAGGCAAGGAAAATGTGAATGTACAAACAGGGGACCTATGTATGTATTCTAATAAATCGAATGACAGCTGTCAAGTCTCGGAAAACAATTGCTTCAACGCCTACTAATACTATTGTGTCCTTATCAATATTGACCCTAAAATGATTCGCAATTTCTGAAGTGACCTCAATTTTGTGCTCGCCAGTGTATTAGTTTAGTTAATTTATAAGTTCACTTTGTAATTGTAATTTTACAACCTGTTTACATGTTTTTGACTTTTTTGAATTAACTGTTCTCGATGTACGATCTAGAACTTTTAAAAATAATTGCTAAGCCTAGAACATACATTTTTTTTGCAAGACTTATAGTTCACTTACTTTGTTTCGCTGCGCCAAGGATGAAACCATTGAGGTCTGTCATTGGGAAAAGCGATTAATTCCGAGCACGTTTCGTGTAATACATCTTTCATCTTTGATTTATTGACGAAAGCGTGAACAGGCAATTTAGTAATATCTGCTGTATTGTATTTAACATCGTTTACCAAATGACCAACGTCGTTTAAGTAAGGAGAAGATATCCCCATTACATATTTTGGTTCAGTCATCCTACTTGGTTTCGTTTCGTCATAGTGTACTGTATAGGAAACCCGCAAGTAGGCATTTCCAACTTTGAACACGACTCCATCCCGATTCGTAAAATAAAGAACCAAATTAAGTTTTCGGAAATATTGTCCCATACTGTGAGGTTTCAACGTTACTAGAACGTCAGTAGATAATTGCGGTTTTAAAGTGGCTTCTGCTGGCTCCATTTTAAAACAAGCAATTTTGTCGTATTTAAATGTGATTGGCAAATGTTGCGAATTATTCTTAATGTTAAAGTTTAGTTTTGATTCTTCGCTCACACGCAAATTGTTTCTGTCAATTGTGGAAGGCGTTACTTTTACGTTGACCTCTTCGACTTCTCCGTATAAGCAAATTCTTATGTATGAATCTTCAATTTTCCAATCCAGATCGTACAAGGAATCCGTTGATTTTGTATTATCGGTGATCTGGTACTGATCTGAAAACAAATCGATTGGCATATTATACTTGCAATGTATGCTGTACTATAAAATATTAATTACTGATATTCGAACATCTAGTATGTTCAAATAGAAGGTGAAAGTGTGGGGTTGATAGGATTGGAATATGCTCGAGCGATCCTTCAAGCTTGAGGAACTAAATGAACATCCGCATAAATTCCATTTTGAACGTCAATGGAAAATTTGATCTGCGTGAGTTTTCAGCTAGAACATCGAGATCACTGACAATGTTTATATACTTCATAAAATATAAAATCCAATGCACATCAGCGATGAAGTATTTTCTCTACTGCAGTAATACTAACAAATGAAATATTACGATTTGAAGGTCTGATTGAACACTAGTTTAATTGGCGTGCATATTTGTTTAGAGATTGTCTGTTCGTAATTTATTTTCTATCATATCATGATGATAAATATTCATTTACTTCTTTTTATTATTTATTTGTATTGAAGATAAACAATTACAAGTATAAAATTGTTTATGTCATCATCTTTATTAAAGTCAGTTTTAGAATGTAAGTGATCTGCGCATCCTCAGATGTCAAAATAAGAGCGGCACTAATAGTAACCTTAAGTGAACTTGCAATAACTCTCTATTATTTTTGGTTATTTGGTCATTATTTTTAGTTATAAGAAAATGTTCTATTTATAACAACCATATTGTCTTCCTCGCAAGTTTAATCTCATTTTTTAGCGTGTATCGGCAACACTTAACTTAAATTTGTCCACTGTAAGTGCTATTTCTCAAGCAGCTAATAATGATGTCGTTTTGAAATCGCCTTCAAAAAAGCGTCTTCTTACAAAGAAAGTAACTAATACAAAAACTCTAGAAAAAAGTAAAATTCAAGATATTATTTACAACATGTAAGTAAGTGTAGATTATTAATTTTATATCATCCAATTATAAATACCTGTATATTTGTTTACAGATGAACACGTAACTTTGGATTCTTTATTAGAAAAATTGAAAGAAGAATTGTTTAATTGATGACGCATGTCATTATGCACCTTATTAAAAGATATTAGATTTAAATTAAAAAAAGATGATCCAAGGCGAGGGCTTATGGAACTTTCCGATGTTGCTGTAAAAAGGTCTGTATTTTTAAGAAATTACGTGAAAGAAAAGGAAACAAGTTCATTTTAGTTTGTTTTTATTGATGAGACGTGGATTATTTAAAATGGACAAACCACAAAAGTTGATGGTAAAAGGTACGTAAATAATTACTAGAATATAGCTGCATTTATTTATTTTATTTATAATAACATAACCAAAACAGCTTATGCCAATTATAGGGTGACACGAAAATGTACAAAAAACGAAAATAAGTTAGAACATAAAAGTATACATTTGTTCAAAAAAGCATCAAATTATGTTGTGCATAAGCTACAGACATACGCTTAAAAAACACAATTAATGAAAAAAAAGTGTATGTAAAAATGCTTTACAATTTGAAAATTAAAATAAGTAAATTTTGACGTTATAAAAAAGGAAAAATAAAATGGTTATTATTGTATGATACTAATTTTCATTAAGATTAACAATTGATTTTATTTTTTTTTGGGTTATTACAAAAAATATCTAGGCGATCTTCCAGATCGTGATAAACTTTGATCATTTGATGTATTGGCGAAGAAGATAGGTGTGGAAAACCTCTAGGAGGATATTGACCATCTAAAATGTACAAGGCCGACTTCATGAACCAGCTCTGAATTATTTCAAGATTGTTAATATAAATATTACACATAGGGTTCCAAACTACACTGGCATATTTCAATCTCGATCTAACGAAAGCCTTTCCCCTTGCATCAACAATTTTTGTTTTATAAGGATCATGAGAAAAAGAACTCTCATCTAGGTTCCAAATTTGTTCGGGCTTGTTATAATGTGATAAATCTGTTAAAGTTTGATTCAAAATATCGAAATATGCATTAATGATGAACGGATCTGTCATCTTTTTTCGGGCGTACTCAACTGATTGGGGCTTCTTTATACTCAGGTGGTGACGTATTTTGAAGTTTCTGAACCAATCATCACCAGGTATGTTGTTCTTGAATGGTGTCTTAATATTATTTTGTTCAACAACCATCAGCAATTCTTTTCTCGTGATTCCAAAGCCCCACTTCTCAAGTATGCGAAGAGCATTTTGCTAATTTGATTTCATCCTCTTTTGGAATCACTGTAGAATGGCCTTGTGTCTCGCTTTTTTTTTCCTCGGGTACCTTTCAGGTGATAAAATAGACTGGTTTTCGAAATATGATATAATCTATGGGCTCTATGTATGTTTAGAGCATCGCGTTTAATTTCAGCCACAGCTAAATTTATATGTTCCTTTGAATAAGCCCCTCCTCTGTTAGTCTTTCTTACGTAGAACTCTTGGCATATTCTGAAATGAAAATGTTTTATTAAGTTTTTACACCGCAAAAATGTACGTTCACACTTGCACTAATGAAATGTTCACACTTACCTCATTATGCGAAATATTAAGGGGTAAGTGTGAACACGATATTTATCAACAGTACGAAAAAAAAACCGAAAATGCATATATACTGTGTTAAACTATAACATATTACAAATACAATAGTAATAATTAAAAATAACTTACGTTGGTTAAAGTATTTTTTCTTGTATTTTAAAAATAACACGGTGCACTCATCAACTGTGATCACTTTATGGCATGAATTAAATAGGTTATGTCGCGCCCGCCAATTATCGCACTGGCGTTCTTTTTAGCGGGCAAGTGTTCTAGGATGATATACTACTACGAACAAAAAAACGCACTTCTATCGGTGTACTCCTGTCATTTTAAAATGATATGTTCACATTTACCCCCGACTCACACTTACCCAGGTTTACCTTATAGGAATTTTATACTAACACACTGTAAAATAAAAGTCGGTATGTTTTGAAAAATATTTATGTTTTCATTTTGTGATACCCAAATAATGTTCAGCTAGTTAAAATAAGTGCAACATTATAATAATGCTTCTACCTGCTATATTAATATAATCCCATAAAGCAAATTTTGATATTATTTTTTAAAAACCTTACCCAACTGATGTTCTTAATAGATTCATGCTTATACATAGAACATACTGCTGACTGGTATTTCTAATTGGCTAACACCACAATGATTTACTGCTGCTTTTCTTTTCTGTAGCTACAATTGTCGGAACTTTCATAGATTCCCCAATTATTTTCAAAATTTGACAACGGTGTGAAGCTGTGAGGGTCTAAAATTTTTACGTCATCGATGACGTGCATTGGTTTTTATATTCTATGAAGTATAAAACTAATTATTCCTAGTACTCCTACTAGTAACATAAAAAAAACAAAAAATACATAACCTTACAACTTCAAAACTTTCCAAAATTCCTCAACTATTCTGACAATTAGATAACACTGCAAGACCGTGACGTCATATATGCTTTTTAACGTGTATCAGTATTTGTATTAAAAATAGTATACTTACCTGCTTCAGTTCCACTTGAGAAGGTTTTGACTTCAATATCCTTTCCTTTGACGACGCCATCCCTATAGTTTATTTTCATAATTTTTATAAAAATAATGCAAAACTTTTGAGGAAACGTTTTCACACGGTAGGGTGCAAATCTGTAATACATTCGAATGAAATAATATCGTTATCGAATTTCAAAAAAGTACTTACGTAACTGTGACTGCAGCTTTGTGACTTTTTAACAATCGTCCTTCTACTGGGTTTAAACAGAAAAATTTAAGATTTTCGTTTAGTTCTCTAGCATGATCCAATTTCTAAAATCGCAAGGAACTTTACATCGAATAATAAGGTTTACTGAATTTGTAGTTATTTTTTAGATATTCGACTTGTGGTACAAGAACTATACCTATGCAATCTATATTTTTAATAAGAATTTTTATAGGAAATTTTCACTGCATAGCTACTATACAAATAAAAATTTACCAAATCTTATTTTCGGTTCAGAAGAACAGTGTTTTCAAATTTTGAATATTAACTTTTAGGGAGGGCATTAGAAACAAAAAAAAACATATGTATTTTGATGATAATATTAATTTTCTTTTAATAATAATCTAAATTTGTAAGCCTTTTGATTTACAATTTTTTGGAAAATTCCATTCAATATATGGCAGACCTGAACTAAATGACCGTCGAAATATTTGTTTGGAAGAAGGAGTAGTTAACGAGCCCTTATTTCTAATATTTAACCCTTTATCGCGCACCGGTATATTGGATACAAATTAGTCACATTTGAAAAAGAAGTTGTACTTCGAAACATATGTCATGTTAGTGTTTTTAAAAGATTTTATATTTTTAAAATAAAAGTGTGTAAATCTACCAAATTTGGTTTTACTCTTTCAAGAATGGTAGGATTATTGGTAAAACATCGAATTTCTTTCAGTTATGTCAAGAAATCGTCCACTAACTCAAGCAAAATTGGAAGAAGAAGCACGTAATTGTTGTCTGAGTGATGTAGAATATTGTGCATCCGATTTTGGAGGAGATGAAGATGCAGAAGATGATATGATCTTTGGTAGCTCTTCTTCTGCTCGAACATCAAAGTCATCCTCACCAACTATTGACGTTCAACCGGGTACTTCGACCAATAGAAGTTTGAGAAAAATGAAAGTGATACCGAGGATGAAATATGTGATGACTCCGATGCAGATCCAGATTTTGAATTAGAAACTGGCAAGCCACATAAGATCCAAGATGGTTCTCTTCCGATAATGAAACTCCTGATAATGAATCTCCCAATAATGAATCACCTTCCGATAATGAGAACGGAGATGAAGTGGTATCTGAATCAATTAGTAATTCATTAGCCAAAGATTTAACCAAACCATTGAAGTGGTTCAAAGAAGGTCAGCAGAATCTAAAATTTATTAATTATTTATTTACCGAATCTTCGAGTGTGAACGTGAACGTTTCAGTGGATTCGTGGAAACCTATAGATTATTTTAAAACTTATTTTGATGACGATATATGTCAAAACATAGTTACTGAATCTAATTTGTATGCGAGTCAAAACGGTACACAGCTAAATTTAGAAGAATTACATGCCTTTCTAGGAATAATTATAATAATGGGTTTACACTGACTGTCCAGTATGAGATTATATTGGTCTACAAATGAGAATTTTCACGTTGAACGTATTACTAAAGTATTTACTTTGAAACGTTTTCTAAAAATACTTAGATACCTGCACCTCAATGATAATGAAAAAATGCTTCAGCCTAACACTTTAGATTTCGACAGGCTATACAAGCTTAGGCCGCTGGTAACTTATCTTACCAATAAGTTTTCTACTGCTTTTATACCTCATAGAAACTTGACGAGAGCATGTGCGCTTTCAAAGGACGAACAACTTTGAAGCAGTATATGCCAATGAAGCCTATCAAAAGAGGCTTCAAAATATGGGTCATGGCATGCTCCAAAACTGGATATTTATTACATTTTCAAATCTACCAAGGTTAAGCTGATGCACAAAAGGATGTTACATTGGGTGAACGTGTTGTGTTGCAATTATCCGAAAAGTTTTGCAGTCGCGGTTATTGCCTATATTTTGACAATTTTTTTACTACTATTAGCCTTATGCACAAATTATTAGACAAAGATTTATTTGGTTGCGGCACTTTTAGAACCGATCGGAAATATTTTCCGAAACAACATTTATGCCCTGATAAAGAGCTTGCGAAGAACCAATCGGACTCTGTTTCCTCTGGTGATATATCTGTCTGTAAGTGGAAAGACCGTGGAAAAAAAGCTGTGTGTGTGGTTAGTAATAGACATGTCTATGATGAAATGACGGAAGTTTTACGAACAAATCAAAGAGGAGAGCGAGAAAGCGTACCGTGCCCCCAATCCATTGCTGACTATAATTATTATATGGGTGGGGTAGACCTCTTCGATCAGTATCATGAGTGTTATACACTCTTGGAAATCTAGATGGTAGATAAAAAATTTGTATTACCTCATTGATGCTTCAATCGTTAACAGCCATGTATTATACAAGGAAACGTTAAAAAAACAACAACCTTACAATAAATCCATGAAAGCGTTGCAGTTTCGGAGTGATCTAGCAGACGAACTTATTGGTAGCTTTACACAAAGAAAAAATCTGGTTCTTTACGACAGAACTCTAAATTCGAAACAAATTCTCATCTTCCAATCAAAGGCACCTACCGAAGATGTGTACTATGTAGTTCGTCAAAAAAAAAAAAAGCAAACGCGTTCAAATATAATATGTACAACTTGCCAAGTTGCTTTATGTAAGGACTGCTTTGCTCCTTATCATCAAAAATAATATAGATTTAACAATACTTTAGTTTATTTTTGTGTGAAAATACATTTTTATTTTATGCAATAAAATTTTATTCAATCAACTAAGTGTTTCTTTTTAATGGTAGCTATACATACCTCTGCCCAATATGTATTTTCAGTTAACTTTTACGAGCACTGGTAGCAATATCTACCATGCTATCCCGCCATATTGGTTATTAAAAAAAAAATTTGATGAAATTTTGTTGATATACCTATGCACCACTCTTTAGAATCTTTACCATTTAAAAAATATTTCTAGTCAAAAATAGTTCTGCCCGTTTAAGGGTTAAATTATGAACTTCTGTCCGAAATGTTATTTTTCTACGGAAGTAAGACGGTTTTTTGTGTACACAATTTTATAAAACAAACAGGCAGACTGCAATACTCTTCTATTGTCCATGTTCAGCCAACCAATTTCTTTTAGTTTATGAGAGATTCTGCAACGTCTTATAATCCCAAATATTAAACGGAGGCTGCAGTTCTGTATTTTTTAAATTTTTTTCTTGTATTGAACAGTTAAACATGGGCCATAGAGAGCATCAGCGTAATTAAATATGGACAAAACTAGTGATTCACAAAGAGTCTTCTTTATTTGATTAAATACCCTAATTAAATCCAATTTACCACATATACTTACAATATCTTCATTTTTCTTATATTCAGCTACAGTACAAAACATCGAGTTAGTTGAACTTTCATTTTTAATAACAACAATCCGACTATTTTGGGCATTATAGTAAGTTTTTGGAAAATCAATGACAATATGGTCGAAATTGTTGGTGACCGGATGTTCAATTTTTAATTTTGGCTGAATAAAAGTGCCCGATATCCATATCCTCTGGAGCGGTTCAGTTTTTACCCAAAATTCTTTTATGAATTTTCCCTGTCGCGAGCCAAGTATCTCCACTTTTACTTCTGTCTTGTGACCTGGCTAAAATGTAAATATTTCTATTATCTGTATTATCTAAAACTAGTCAAAAAAGCTGAAAAATATACCAAAAAATTTTAAATCTACTAAATGTGGTAACATTGAATCAAGATCAGAGTGACCCGACCAAGCGAAGTTAGAGCTCGATTTTTCCTGAGTTTTTGTGCTTCGATTTGTGTGTATATAAACTTTAATTTATTATATTTTTTGAAATCCTGATTAATTTTGTGTATATTTTGGTAAGTACATTTACAAAACTATAAATATTAATCTCAGAAGAAACCGAACATCCTGAAATATTTTAAATACCTTTTAAAACCAGATTTTTTGTAAACCATATTTTTCTTATCTAAAGAGCTATTGAGAGCTAATGAGATAAAATTCGTAGGTTCTATATATATTTTATCACCAAGTTCTTAATATTTAAGGTATTGTACGTGATATTTTTTTTGTTGCTATATAGTAGCAAACTACAGTTCTGTAGTATGAAATCAACAAAAAAGTATTACCACAACGCAGAAAAAAAAAATAAAAAAGTCTGAGTATGATCACTGTTTTAAGGATTCGGTGAACATATTATTATTTCTTGATGAAAAAAACTGAAACTAAAATTAAACACTCAGATAAAACAAAAAAAAAATATTTTTTCAATACAAATTGTAAAGGAAAGATTTCTCTAGAGAATTCTTAGAAGAAAATTTTAATCGAATAAAAAATAAAAGCAAAATTCTTAAAACAGTGATCATACTCTGAAAAATTTTTTCTGCGTTGTGATAATATTTTTTTGTTGATTTCATACTACAGAACTGAAGTTTAAGTTATACAGGGTGTCTGTAAAAGGTCTTTACAAAAACATACCACATATTCCTTAGACCAAAATAAGTCGATTTAAGTAAAATTACTTTAATACAAAGTTGCTTCATTTGGGCTCCAGAGGGCCTTGAAGTTACAATTTTTAAATCGTTTTCCCATATAAATTTAAAACGGCATATGCGATTTTGCTGAAATTTGATATATTGGTAGAGTTTTATGTGGCAAAAAAATGGTATTAAAATTTTGTCTGATAATAATACATAGGCGTAGAACTTGATTTTTTAAATAATTGCGCCTTTAAAACTTCTACGCCAATGGAAGAAAAGTAGCTTGAGTATGAAATTTACATTGCGCAACTCATTTACTTTAAAAAAGGTACTCTTTATAAGACTCGATTACTCTCATGGTTTTCGCTAAATTTCTGTTTTAATAATTTAGAGTGTATAGGTTTCACAAAAATATTTATTTACAACATAATCAAAATAGAGATTTTACAAAAATTGTTCAAAATGTTCACCATCTTCACGCATACAAAGATTTATACGTCGAAGAAAATTAAAATGTATCCTTTCCATAACTTCTTCATCACCTCTAAAATTGTTTATTGCATCTTGAATACGTTGCCAGAGTTGTTCCTCATTTTCTACAGGTTTCCTGTAAATTGTGGATTTCAGATGTCCCCATAAAAAGTAATCCATCGGTTTTAGGTCTGGGGAACGTAGTGGCCAGTTTACAGGTGCGTCATTACCTCTGCCTATCCATTTTTGTGGATATTGTTCATTCAAGTGATTTCTAAGGTTTAAAGAAAAATGTGGTGGAGCTCCATCTTGTATAAACCACATATCTCTCCGAAGTTGGAGAGGTAAATCTTCTAACAATTCTGGCAACGTATTTTGTAGAAAATCCAAATAATTTTCTCTAGTTAATCTTCGTGGAAGTATGACAGGACCAACAATAAAATTACTAATTATTCCAGCCTACACATTAATTTCGAATTCGTGCTGAAAATGGTTTACCTTTATTGCATGCGGATTTTCAACGGCATAAACATGTTCATTATGGGTATTAGTTATACCTCTTCTTGTAAAACTCGCTTCATCGGTAAAGAGAACCTTCTTGACAAAGTTTGGATCTCTTTATCTTTGCATATTAACAAATCAACAAAAACCCAAACGAATTTGAGGATCATGGACTAATAATTCTTGTACTGGCTTCTTATGGTATGGATATAGCAATTGTTCTCTAAGCACTTTATGAACGACATCTTTACTTACTCCTAGTTCCCTTCCAATTCGTCTGGTGCTTAATTCTGGATCTTCTTCAATACGTTCTAAAATGTCTTCTTCAACTTCAGGAATCCTTACAAAACATTCTCTTCCATTATCAACAGTGTTGGGAGCAAAGGAACCGGTCTCCCGAAGACGTCTCTCAACAGCAGCAAAAGTTGGATGGCTAGGTGCACGAAGATTTGGAAACCTTTCAGAGTACACCCTGACACTCTCTCGAGCATTTCCTTCACAAAATCCTAATGTCAGTAACAAATCGGTATGTTCTGCATTGGTATATTGTACAGCCATATTAATAAACCACGCATCTGTTTTTTTAATTATTGAGTCAGATAGAACACTTTCAATCGTTAACAAGAGATTAGGTGTTAAAACTTGACAATATTTTTATTTAGATGAAACTATGGAAACCAACAATAAATATTTTTGTATACGTATTGCAGGCAAATAATTAATATTCCTCAAAAAATCGTACATGGCAAGAATCGAGTATTTTTGTTAAAAGTGTCGATTAGAGGTGTTGAAGAAGATATGAAAAAAGTACATTTTTATGTTTTTCATCGTATAAAATTTTGTCCGATAATAATACATAGGCGTAGAACTTGATTTTTTAAATAATTGCACGTTTAAAAATTCTACGCCAATGGCAAAAAAGGGGTTTGAGTATGAAATTTGGATTGGGTACTCATTTACTACAAAAAAGTACCCCTGATTGTGGCGACATCATAGCACCACATAGTCTCACCTTTAGTTTTGACTTTTACGTCAATTTATTTTAAGGTTTCTTAGTCAGTTTTTATTTGAGGTTGGTCAAGTGTCAATGCCAGATGGTACCATTATAATATCACATATATTATGATCTTGGTCGATAGCTGCGTATACTAGCACCCTACTTATCCGATGGATGGTAACCATGGAAAAAGAAAACAAAAAGATTGATTGATTACTGATTCCGAAAATTAACAAGACAAGACGTACCTTTGACACAACAATTTTATATAACGCTTTTCATATTTTGAAATAAAATTATCTTTTAATTACTGAGATTCTGATTTCCTGCTACCTACAATTGGTGACCCCGAACGAGCACTTTTCAACTGCAAGGAACCCCTTTGGAGCATCTCGGAATAACATCCAAGACTAGAACAACACTCGATTTACTCTCATGGTTTTGACAAAGTTTGTATTTTAATAATTATTGTTTATGTTCTAAAATTACTAAAATGCAAATTTCGCAATCTAAATTTCATACTCAAACTCCTTTTCTTCCATTGGCGTAGAATTTTTAAAGATGCAATTATTTAAAAAATCAAGTTCTACGCATATGTATTATTATCGGAACAAATTTTAATACCATTTTTTTTGCCACATAAAACTCTACCAATATACCAAATTTCAGCAAAATCGCATATGCCGTTTTAAATTTATATGGGAAAAACGATTTAAAAATTGTAACTTCAAGGCCCTCTGGAGCCCAAACGAAGCAACTTTGTACTAAGGTAATTTTACTTAAATCGACTTATTATGGTCTAAGGAATATGTGGTATGTTTTTGTAAAGACTTTTTACAGACACCCTGTATAGCAACAAAAAAATATCACGTAAATACCTAAAATATTAAGAACTTTGTGATAAAATATATAAAACCTACGAATTTTATCTTATTACCGAAGCACTAGCTCTTAAGTAACTTTAATTTGTATTACTATTTCAAAAATTTTCCTTGGATAGAGGTTCGGTTTGCTCTTGATGAATAGAAAAATATAAGTATAATATTATTTAAAACATATTTCCTACAAATATCTATATTTTTAGCTCGTTCAAAATGGAACAGAAAAAATTATTAGTCAAAAAGGGCCAAATTCTTGTAATATTATTATCTATAATTTTTTTATACACAAAATGTTCTTAAAATGTTCCGTATTCGAAAAATTTAACAAAATTTAAAAAAAATAATTTTTTATAAAAAATATTTAAATAGAAGTTGTTTGTAATATAATTCTCTATAATTTTTATCCTATACATAATTTCTCTAAAATGAACCGTATTCGAGATATTTGAGAAAATGTGTAAATTTCGAATTTTGAAGAAAACTCAAAAACGGATAAATAAGAAACATTAAATTTTAAACTTAAGTTTTATTTCGGTCTGACGTGAAAGGATTAGATTTTGGACAAAGTCGGAACATCTGGGGGGGTACTTTATGGGAGGCCATTTTTATATTTTATGGAATACATCTGTTAATTATGTTTGGAGAAAAAATTGTTTAAATAAAAGTTACCTCTAATATTGGGTCCTATGATTGAACGTTTATGTTATCCGTAACCTACATATTAGGCCGAGTTCTAACAGTAACAAGGCAAGTTCGTACGATGGAAAACTTTTGCCAACACATTACTGTTATTTTCCGCCTGTTATGTTCTAATTTAACAGGTTTCCATCATAAGAACTTGCCTCGTTACTTTTAAAATTTGGCCTAACATGTACGTTACGGATAACGTAAACGTTCAATCATAGGACCCATTATCTATAATTTTTGCTTTGTTAAAATTTCCTAAAATGGTCCGTATTCGAGAAATTTGACAAACTGTGCAAAATTCTGATTTTTATGAAAATTGTTGAACTAAAAGTTGTTTGCGATATCGATCTCTATAATTTTTGGTTATACATGATTTTTCTAAAATGGACCGTAATGGAAAAATTGGAGGAAAAGTGCTAAATTTAAATTTTTCAGTATTTTCGTTTTCAATGAATATCTATAGAAAAATGTTTCGAAGTAGATGTATGTAGAAAATGTATATATTTAGTTTATCCTCTAAACATTTATAGAGGTGCTGCAATAGGTTGTATAAAATAACCGGAAAAAACCTATAATAACTAGATAGGAAAGTCATGTGTTGGACAC